ACATTTCTACTAATCACCTTTATGAATAACTGATTAACTGTAATAATAGTTCAGTTAGACTTTACTACATTATTATTATGGATTGTTGTGTCATAAAAAAGGTTATAATTAAAGCTTATTGTTATGAGATGTCATTTATTTTTACAGAAAGTCCATTAATGAATAAAATCCACAAATGTTAAAACAAAACAAAACGATTTGAAAAGGGAAAATACATAATCATATACACACATGGCAAGGGATTCAGTACACATGAGAACACTCCCATTATGTGCTTTTTAATGCCTCTTAGACACTCACACACACACAATCATAGACAGCAGATAACAGGCAAAGAAGGCGGAGGCTGGAGTATCTCTTAACTCATAAAACATAAATTAAAATCGGATTAAATAAGGTGGGTGTTGATGATCTAGACGATTGAATTTTTTTTTTCTTTCTCTCTAACGCGCACGCACGCACACACAGGCACACACCTCCCATATGGTAATGTTTCATGCGGTCTTAATATTTGTATGTCTTTGTATGTCCCCATGTTTTGTCGCTGCTTCAATGTTTTTCTGTTGCTGTACCAATCACTTTGGTATGTCATTGTACCACTTATGTATGTCTATGTGTCACTTTTGTATGTCTATGTGTCACTTTTGTATGTCTATGTGTCACCTTTGTATGTCTTTGTATGATTTAATTAAAAAAAAAAAACATAACAAAACGTAACAGCAAAGAGTGAAGCATCAAACAATTTTAAGATTTTAAGAACATTTTTATTTATGAAAATACTTCATTTTCCAAACCATATTTACATAAAAACAGAACGTCTCGTTTAGGCCTCTGTCTAAAGACACAGCAGAGAGTTCATTTCAGGCACATTGTACAAACTTTAATACGAAACAAACAGTGGTATAAAACTCGCTTTGCACAAAATGTTGATCATCAGAGCGTCTTAAAGTACAAGTGCAAATGTGTAACAGACTGAACAAACATTAGTGTGATGGTGACATGTGGGCTTTACTGGTATATACTGGTACATAATGGTATACATTGGTATAGACACTGGTAGATGTGTGATTTTCTCATTAGGGGTCCTCACATAATCAGATTTCTGACGTTCATGGCCACAATCTACACAGTTTAATGCAGCTCATTCATGTCTAATTGTATTTATTCATAGAATTCTATCACCAGTCTATTCCAGAATATCTATTGGCATCACAATACCTACTGTTTCTGAATGATCCTGAACCAAATTGTTGGCATTTGGACATTTTCACAAGTCCAAAATTCAATTTAATTTATTCTAAATAACTTCTAGATTTCTAGCAGTATTAGTTATCCTACAAATTCAACTCCAAGTTTATCCCAAATTAAGAAAATCTCCCATATACTGATATATAAACTTATATCACCTTATTGCCCTGGGGCTGTTGGGGCAATCTGACTGGAACCTCCAGATGTTGATACACGGACATAGGAAAATCTCTATATCGCTGGAAGATGTTGTCCTTTTCATTGAATGTCCAACTTTTCAAATTGTGAATAGAGGGTGAAACTTTTTCTGGTTGAGCTCCTGATTTTTTGCCAAGGAGAGAGACTACTTTGAATATAGTATCGTATAAAAATTAGTGCTGTCCAACGATTAAAATATTTAATCGCGATTAATCGCATAAATTTCATAGTTAACTCGCGATTAATCGCAAATTAGTCACACATTTGCGTGCTGTGTGCAATTGCTTTTTTTATTGAAAACAATGTGTAGTGTTATATTACACACTAACATTTGATGCAAAATCATCAATAAATGGATGACAAAATAAATAATTGGTAACAAAAAGCCCCTTCAATGTGTGTGTGTGGGTGTGTGTGTGTATGTGTGGGTATAGACCATAGACTGTATAGAAACATCATGGTGTCATTATGATGATGATAAACAATCTGTAAATATTTTGTAAATTTGTTCATGTAAATACTCTATGCTGTTTCTCTGTTTACCTTCGGTATATCTATGACTGTATACTGTTTGCTTGTATTGCCTTTTTTATTAACCCCTCCCCCCATCTCCCACTTCATCCCCCCCCCCCCCCCCTCCTCCCCTCCTATGTGCCCTTCTGGGTTTCTTCTTTGGCCCCCTGTATCTCCAACTACATATTGTTTGTAATCTCTGTCTACAATGTATCTGAACTAGTCCTTTTCTTTGTTTCTATTTTTTTTTCTGTATATGTGTTTGTCTGCAATAAAAAGTAAAAAAAAATCGCGCGATAACAAAAATGACGGCGTTAATATTGATTTGCGTTAACGCGTTAATAACGCGCTATTTTGGACAGCCCTAATAAAAATACTTACTGCACATGATAGTACTGCATCCCATTGTCAGAAATATACATTAATTAAAAACTGAAATACAATTTAGGTTGCTGACATCACATTTAAGTCCCGATAGATTTTTTCAAACAGTAGTAGTACATTGTTGGCTGGTTGTGTCCCGAGCAGGGGGTCAAACTCATTTTGGTTGGGGCCAAAATAAAAAAGACAGATATAGAGATATTAGAGGGCTGAAAGAATAGTATTTATTTTCATAAATATATATGTATCTATTTATAAAGGTTTTTTGCTGAGTATAAAAGTGCATATATTTATTTACTGAGCCAAATTTGTTTGTCATGGATGGATCATGGATTGACCCAAAACTGGACCAAACCTAAAAAACCTGAATGATTCATTTTTATCATGTGTCCAGGTAACCCTAACTCATGTGTTGGGTTAGAATACATTAAATAATATGGTCGCTTTCTTTAGGAAATTGGATGAGGCATATCTCATAGCAGACCATTAGACCAGTCAATGCTGCAAATGAATGATAACAATAGAAAATCATGGGACATTTATTGTCCACAAAAGATGGTCCTGTTGGCCGGATTTGGCTCGCAGGCCTGAGTTTGACATGCCTGCTCTAGAACATAATCATTTTTGCACAAATTTTGACACAGAATCCACAACTTCAACTGTTTCTCAGACATTAGTATCTTGCTGCTACATCTCCAATGTAAACACGCGGTAAAGTAGTATCAAAACTATAAAGTGCTCTTGTCAAACATAATTCAAGTCCACCGAATAAACTTGTAACTGGCGGTCCTGTACACACTTCCCATTTATCACAAGTGTGAGACAAACGTGTGGTTATGCTTCCACTTGATTCGGACGGACAATACCTGAGACGCATCGGATTGTTTTCAACGCCTTTATAGTTTCTTCTCGCTGCGAATTCAAAAATACCTCCTCCTTTGTTCTGTCTTTCTACTCGTGGCATTAAAAAGTACCGTAAGTTCTTACACTCCCTTGTTTTAACTTTTAAACATCTTACAGCGCCATCTTTAACCAACTCAATAGTAACAGACCTCCAGTCACAAGTTGGAGTGGCTAAATCAAGCAACAAACACATCCCCCCACCCTTTCTTCCTAAACACAAATCATTAAACTATGACGCTATGGAGAGAGTTCTTGTGTGGCTTTTTAAACCATGTCTGTAAACTGATTTTGTACATTATTTTCCTAATACAATGTCCCTCTTCATCCATGAGAATAATAATAATAATCCCAGATTTACCATTTATTGTTTTCCCAGATAATAAAGCAAAAAATAATAATCCCAGATAATAAGCTATTTAGGCAAGACACACATTAGAATGAGTCTGGTGTGTGTGTGAATGGTTGGTGGTGGTCAGAGGGGGAGATGGCACATACTGGTCAGTGTGCCCCAGGGCAGCTGTGGCTACAGTGGTGGTTAATGAATGAATACTGACTTTGAGAGTCCAGAAAAATGCATTATTATTAACATTTTCTTTATCAACTTTTAGCTTCTGTCTCATAAAGTTGAGTTAGAAGTCTACAACATGAACGCAAATCATACATTTTGAGGGTGAAATGCCAAGATATAGCATAGTATATAAATAATACGATACTGTTTGTTCTCTAAAACAGTGTTTCTCAACCTTTTTTGAGCCAAGGCACACTTTTTTCATTAAAAACATCTTGCGGCACACCACCAGGAGAAAATGTAAAAATATATACTCTGTAGCCTATATTTACAATATAAAGTCATTCTTCTCATAGTGCTTAAAGCCAGTCCTTGACATTAAGCTTGGTTTAATATTGCTCATTACAATGAGTTAACAAGAGTTTGGGAATAAAGCGGCAATAACTGTAGGGGAAAAAACATAAAAAATTCCACTCTCAGCCCAAAAAGTCAAATAATGACTCAGAGGGCTCTTATGTGTGAAAGATAATGATAAAAAAATGCCCTGCTGTGTGTTCTGCTTGATTTGTTCACAACATTTTACTTTTAGCAAAAATAACATGCATTTTTAATGCATGGGGAAAATGTAGGTATCCGAGCTTTAAGTTCAGGAGTTCTTAGAGAGAGACACAGGAGAGACTCGGGGAGAAACAGGAGCTGGTCCTGAACACGAGTCAAGAGCCGCGCAGATGGTTCTGTCCACGCGACTAGGGTTCGCGTGCCGCACCATGTTACGGATGTGCGTTTGCTGAGCTGTTGTCAAAGCGGCTGTCAGTACAACGCAGGCCACAGCTGCCCTGGGGTCAGAGCGGAGGATGTGAATTGTGTTCAGAAATGGCATAATTCCTTTTCAAAAGCGTCTCAATCACTTTCACTTCTCACTCGCCAAAATTCTCCCCGCTGCCTCTTACGTTTGTTGGTCGCATCCAATTCTCACATTTCTCGCCACCCCTCTACTTGTTACATTTGGTGGTTGAATCCAATTCAAGACAAGTTCGCGCTCGCCAAAAGTGAATGCAGTTATTTTTAGACAAAGTTGGCAAATTTCTCACGGCACACTAGACAATGTCATACGGCACACTAGTGTGCCGCGGCACAGCTGTTGAAAAACACTGCTCTAAAAGACATGGAAGCTTATAGAAGGAGGTATTTTTCTTGAATTCAGATGCAACCTGTCTATAATCCTGGTACCTTTGGAGCCTGGATCAGCTCAGGTGGCGTCCTGTTGTGGGGGTCCGTCCTCTGTGTCTTTGGCGTCTGCAGGGGCAGAGGGGGAGGTGAGGTTCAGGTAACTCTGCTCCGTGAAGCTGGAGGACAGTCTGCTCCTGTCCACCTTCACGCGGCAAAGCGCGTCCAGGATGTCCAGCTTCTCACGCGGCGCTGAAGAAAAACTGCAGCCAAAACACAAATGTTATCTCCTGTTCTGCCAGGTATGAAGTTTGTACTAAAGTATGTTATGAGAGGGGAAATGTAAGAGCTTTACAGAGACTTTTGTGATGTTTAGGGAAAATGTTACACCCAGAAGTACGTTTCTCCATTCAATACTAGAGTTTAATTCCAAATATAGAGAAATAAATACGAGATATGATTCAGACTATATTGAAATGAAAGATTTTGCATAAAGGGGCTGTATGTAATATTATTATTTCATATTAAATCTACATCTTTTACATGTGTTCCCAGATGACAGTTTTAAGTTTTGTTATGAAATAGAGATACATGTTGACATTTTTAAATACATTTTTATACCCCTAGATTTCTGAACTGATTCGATGATTTTAGGGAGAGAGACTGGAGGTGACAGATTTCGCTCTCTTTTTGTTTCTTGGGACCAAAGGCAATCATTTCAGTCTTATGGGGCCAATAACGGACTGATCTGATGAATGCAGTGAATGAGTGGCTCAAATGAAGAAGTTGAGCGGAGCTTGTTTTCTGGAAGTAAAATTCTCCACTCAAAATCCCCATAGGAGTTTTTGAAAATATCAAGAGTTTAAACAGGAGGCTAACCAGCTAATGCTAACTACTATCCACAAGGCACTGGTTTCAGCTGAAAAAAAAACCTAAATTAAAATGCAAAATTTTTCTTGAACTTGGTAAAATAGTTTTTTCTTGGTAAGAAAATGCATGAAAGTAATCATGCACATTTGAATATGGGGAGGCACTTAAAAGTTAATTTTTTTCAGCTGACTCCAATTGGGCCGTTATCAATTTATTGTTATTGTGTAAATGTAAATACCAATTATACTTGCTCAAACCAATAGAAAATTATAATGTTTTAATGTTTGATAAACATACTATTGAGAATACTGCATATTAAATGATTTTTCTGCCTAAACCATGGTAAAACAATAAATCCATATGAAATGTTTACATTTATAGAGATTGATCATCTGCCCATTATGGACCAAATTTAACATTGCATTTCCTGTATTTGAATGGTTTGATTCTCTAATCTGTGTTGGCAAATCTCTAACTTTGCAAAGTCCTGACAAATGTTGTGATTTAGGGCTATACAATAATACATTTAATTAAAATAATCGAAAATCTTCCGGCTCTCACCTGATAGTAGACGTGTGCAGGTCACTGAGACCCTCCTGGTGCTGCTTCTTCTGTAACTGTATACAGGCAGATTTAAATTGTGTTCAGACGTGTGTGGTGACAGTTGTGTGTGTGTTGTGCGTTTGTACCTCCAGACTGTGCAGCGCGTGGACATTCCTCAGGGCGCGCTCCAGAGAGCACACCTGATTGGACAGTTTGAGAGTGCGCTCCTGCAGCTGCCGGTTCTCCGCTTCCAACACGCTTACTCTGGTAGGAGATGAGATGATAACAATAAAGCAAATGAGGCTGTGAGTAGGTTTGTCTAATTCTGTTGTTTATTATGTAACTTCCACTAAACAGCTGTTTACAAAACATTCACAGGCAATCCAAGCAACTCTCAATTAGTTAGAGAATGCCCGTTTGTTGTTTTATTGTAACAACATTAGTCATAGACTCTTGTGATGGCCTGTTGAATAGATTTAATTCACAACGTGCCAATGAGCCTGACAAATCTAGTAATTCTTTGTTCAGAGCAAAAATTTTCACAAAGTTCCACATCTTATTGTCCTCACATATCTATTATGGTCTGATTATTTTCTCATAAACTGTCTCTCTGTTCTCTCTCACTGGTCTCTCGCTCTTTCTGCTCTCTTTCTCTGGTCTCTCTCTGGTCTCTCTCTCTCTGGTCGCTCCCTCTTTGGTCTCTCTACCATCTATGGCCTCATTAGGAGAAAGGACTTTAGGACATGTGAATCTTAAGGCGGGATTATTAATCACTTTCTAATAATTATCTGCGGAAATACTAGGACATTTTATTTAAGAAGAATACAATTCAGAGTTCTGCTATTCAGAGTCCTCCTCACTTGTGCTCGATGGTGGAGGCAGTCCTCATGCCTCTGCTGCCCATCTCCTCGGCCTCGCTGATCCTCTGCAGCAGCTCCCGTCTCTCCTCCAGCAGCTTCTCGTTCTCCACCATCACTGTGTCTGTGCGCTCCTTCTCCTGGACGAACAAACACAAGCCTTATGTGTGATTGTGTGATTTGAGGCTACAACACTGGGATATTTACTTTGGCAGCCTTTTAACCAAATGCTGTGCTTGAGGTCTGTCCCCTGAAAAACCCCAGACGTTCATAGATTAAAAACAGATTACCTTATGGCAGAGGCTGGAGGCGAGCAGAAGATCATTCTCCAGCTTCTGAATGATTCGGTCTCTTTGGGCTGTGGCTTTCAGATACACCTGTTTGGCCTGGCGTAGCTTGGTCCTGTGCTGGCTCTGCTTTTCATTGTACTTCCTGGGTTCACACAGACAGACTCTTGGAATAACAGAGAATATGGCCTTTGCTAGACCTCTCTTGTCTCAGTAAACATGCAGGCCTGGATCACACATTTTGATTAAAGTTAGAGTGTTACCTGACGTGTGAGTCGAGCTGTAGAAGCAGCTGCTGGAGCTCGGACTGGAGCCGCTCGCACTCAGAGTGACACAACGCCAGCTCCTCCTGCAGTTTGAACGACGACTTTTGGCTGTTTTTCTCCTTTACAAACCACACAACACAAATGTCTATGAGCAAAGTGAACAAATAGTAAACATGTATGAACACAAACACACTGGTTTTGTATGATTTATCATTTCTGTGTATTCTTGTAGAGAGCTGGGATGATTGCTCCTATTTCTTTGGCAGCTAATATAGATCTAATAAGTTAGATCTTTGGGTTTATAGGTTTAGTCGATCAGTGTGACGGCTGACCTCCTCGCGGGCTTTGCTCAGCTCGCTCTCTAGCAGAACCAGCCGTGTGTCGAGCTGTTGACTCCTGAGGCTCAGCTCCGAGTTGCTTCTGTTTAAAGACGCCTCTTTGAGCCTGAAGGCCTTCACCTGCTGCTGAAGCTCCTCCTCCCTCTGCTCCAGCAACTTCCTGATGCAACACAACACAGAACACATTAGTGAGTTGTGATGCGACCGCAGTCACCATGGCTCAATTGTTTAGTGAATATTTAAAATGTCAATAATATTACAAAATATAGATGAGAAGTAGAGAGCTCTGCTGGGTCTTGAGAAAAAAGGTATAGAGGTCAGGCAAACGAGGATGAAAGAGGCAAGGCATGGCAATAGTGAAGAAACAATCCTTCAGTTGTATTCACAGCGAAACAAAACAGTTTTTAACGTGGATTTGAACATTGTCAGAGAAGAAGCCTGTCTCACATTTTCAGGAAGACTGTTGCATGAATCTGAAATGCTGCCTCCTTGTGTTTAGTCCTTACTATGGGTAACACCAGGAGGCCAGTCCCTGTGCTCCTGAGAGTCCGAGCTGCTAATGTTACAGACAGCTGCAGGTAACACTCTAAATATGTGGTGAAGTTGCCTCACAGTGGACATGTATTTGTAAATATGCAAACAATGTCTTATATTAACTGAGTAAAAGAATAACACAACTTATACATTTAAAAGGGCTGCAGCACAGGGATTGTAACTAGTCATCAACAGTATAAGCTAGAAGTGTGTGGACCTGGTGATGTGCTCCTCGTGCTGCTGCGTCCTCAGAGCAGACAGAGCGTCACTCAGGTCTCTGCTGTCTCGCTCCAGGCGGCTGCTCTCTCCGGCTCGAGCCTCTTCCAGACGCAACATGTGCTGAGCCGCCTTCAGCTGCTGCTGCAACTCTACAATCTGAGACCAACCATAGACCACTTCAGACAGCCATAGACCGATAGAATGATTTGGATCTTAAAAGGGCGGCCACAATCATTCATATTCAAAGTCAAATTCAAACCTTTTGATGTTCTTTATGATGATCTTTAAAGAAAGCAATGTCATTTCTTATTTTCTTTTTTATTTACTAAGATGTAGGAGCACTGGCAACACAAATGATAATAATACAAAAATGAATCCTGCTGATTTTTCTTTTGAGCTATAGGCCTTTACAAAATGGTTGATGGTAAAAATGCCTAAACCCAATCAACAAAGAGGTAGATTTCAGTTCCAAGCTTCAAGTAGATTTTGTGATTCAAAAAGTGATCCACCAAATGGTTGAATACACCATTAAAGGCTTTTAAATGTACACTTCATTTACCATTTTTTCCTCATAGGAATCTTTGTCCTCTGTATTTGAAAAAGTACTTTGATTGATTGTTTTCTGAAGCAAAATATCACACTACAAAAAGAGTGCTGATGACTGGGAATACCAATCCTGGCTCTCATACCTTCTTATCAGCAGCAACGAGGCGCACTCTCTCTGCCTGCAGCTCCTCTTGCAGGCCGGAGGTGGCATTGCGGGTGGAGGTGGACCGAGCCAACTCCAGCTCCAACTCTCTGATCTTGTTCTGCTGTCGGCTGCACTCAGACACTTGGGACTGAACGCTCTGCTCAGTGAGGATCAACTTGGTCTGGAGCTGCTTCAACTCTGCGCACAGCTGAAAACAGAGAATACATACAGTTAGATACAGTTATAGAAAGCTACGATTAGATGTAGTTATATAAAGATGCCGTTATAGAGAGTTAACCAGCTGAAACACCTGAATATGTTAAGAGTCCGGAAATTAGACTTTCTTATACAAAACACACAAGGGATGGGAATCTAATCTCTCTTATCAGAATCTAAAAACATTCCAGTATAACCCATGAACTCATTTTGAGAACCAGTAGTCGCAAAAACAAATATATTAGACATTAAAAATCATGTAATGTGTGACCATGATTTACAAGTTCTCTATAAAAGGAATTAGCTTAAAAACAGGGCCCCCAAAGTAAGATCAGCTTCTGTGGAGCATCACCTTTAGTTTCTCCTGCTCCAACAGCATATTGTGTTTCTTGATGTCCATGTTCTTCTCCTTCTCGTATCTCAGCTCTCGTTCTGCTGAAGTGAACAGACTCTGGGCTCTTTGCAAATCCTGCTTCATCTGCCGAGCCTCTTCTGCTCTCTGGTTTAACACAGAGTCCTGGGACTGCACACACAAAACAAATGATAAATACAGGTACATTCACCCCCTCATCTATAGAATATGTATATCTCCAGTGCATGAATTCACAAACAGAGTCAAAGTAGTACCTTCACATGAGCCTGTGCCTCTGCGAGCTGAGCCTGCAGAGCCAGCAGCTGCTGAGAGCTCAGGTCTCGCTCTCGCTCCAGTTTGGCCTGGACTTGGGTCAACTCCTGGTTCAGATGAGAGAAAACATATAATAAATAAAAGCTTAGAAAGCTTGAGCTTTAATCAGAAGGGTCTAATTGAAAAAGACCCCAAAAAAAACATCCAAATGATATGCTTCTGAAGTTAGAATGACTGAAAATGTGATTGGTCAGGTATTTCTTCAAAGCTTGGTTCTTGGTGGTGTCAAGACTTTGTCTTCATCCTACTACTGTTCTTTGTGACTGTAATGTTAAATCATAAAAAATAAAATGAAATGATCATAACTAAAGTAAGTGTATAGATAATTAAATAATCTAAAAGACTTTCTCTGTATCTCAACTATTTGACACTAAATAGTTAAGTGAAACTATAGGTAGGACTAACTTACGACAAAATAATGACTCCATCCAACAACACTACAATAGCTGCGTTTCCATTGAGCATCAAATTTCGAAATTTGAATTTGCGCATCATAAAATGTCTAATGGAAACGCGCAAATTTCGAATAAACCACAGTTTTTCGATAAAAAGTTAATGCGCTTAAAATAGGTGGTTTTTTGGACGAATCGAAATTAAGTTTTTCGCAAAACGGCAATGGAAACACTTATTTCGATATAGCGGAGGAAGCCGAGCTGCTTTATTCAGTGAGTTTTGGCTGCGCTTCGTGTGGAGACTTGGGAGATACGTGGAAGAGGCATGGGGGAGAGACGTGGGAGAGGCATGGGGGAGAGACGGGGGAGAGACGTGGGAGAGGCATGGGGGAGAGACGGGGGAGAGACGGGGGAGAGACGGGGAAGATACGTGGGAGAGGCATGGGGGAGAGACGGGGGAGAGACGGGGAAGAGACGGGGGAGAGGCATGGGGGAGAGACGGGGGAGAGACGGGGGAGAGGCATGGGGGAGAGACGGGGGAGAGAGACGGGGAAGATACGTGGGAGAGGCATGGGGGAGAGACGGGGGAGAGACAGGGGAGAGACGGGGAAGAGACGGGGGAGAGGCATGGGGGAGAGACGGGGGAGAGACCGGGAAGAGACGGGGGAGAGGCATGGGGGAGAGACGGGGAAGAGACGGGGGAGAGGCATGGGGGAGAGACGGGGGAGAGACGGGGGAGACAGGCAAGACCCGTGTCTATGGTTCTGTGCGCGCGTCTATGGTCCGCGCTCGGTACATGACCACGGCGTTTGCGGAGCTGTCAAAGCAGCCACAGTTTCTCCCGGGGTCAGAGAGGATGAGAGCCGCAGCAGAAGTCAAGACATTAATATATCTCACGTAAATCAAAGTGTTGTTTACTTCTGTTGCCATGTTGACGTACTAGAAACTAGTGAATAAACGCGCGAAAATAGTGTATACTTATTCGAATATGTCTTAATGGAAACGGCCGCTTTTGCGAATTACAGGTTTTTCGAATTTTGAAATGTATCGAAAAAGTTTTTGCGCATTATTCAATGGAAACGCAGCTAATGTTACAATTACATAAAAAATGACCAGAACTAGGACTGTAAAAAAACAGCACTGCCGTTGCCAACATTAACATGTTTACACACTTCTGTCTTTTGCACAGTCTGAGTGATTCCATAAATGCCAAATGTCACATGTTTTGGGCTGAGAGCTGATTGGCTGAGTGAGGGTAGTGTGGTAGGGTTTTCATCTTTTGATCAGACAGAAAAGAATGTGCAGTAGTGAGGAATTAGTGAAAATAGATTTTATTACGTTGTTCCAATTTTGAGGTTTGTAATGTAGGTACCCCAGCTTTAAATTCTCTTCAGCATTTTTTAGGTTAACAAGGATTATTTCATTGATATTTTGGGGTTCTCAGAGTAAAACCTTTGCCCTAATAAGTTCAATAGAGACTCGAAGTGACCTGGTTGGAGCCTTCCTCTCTGCTGGTCCTCACGGGGCTGAGTCTCTGGGCGGTCACTGCTTCCCTCCTGGACTGTAGCTGCTCCTTCTGTAAGTGGAGCTCGTCATTCAGCCGCTGCACCTCCAGCCGAAGCCTCTCTCTCTCCCCCTCTGCACTGATCTTCTCCTGGACACTGGCGCTCAGTTTGGTCTGGAGCTTGGATGTCTGCTGTCGCTCTGAGGCCATCTCCTCTCTGGGAGAAAGTAATATGTTAATCAATAATAATTAAATTAAACATAAGGCCTTTATTCACATTCATAAATTACAAAAACAGCAAAAACAAGCTCTGGCTTGTTTAGGGGTGGAGGTAAAACAGTGGTCTATGCTATGACTGAAGTTTGTGAAGAAGAAGAAGTGATGGGAGTGAGGAAGAGCAGTGCAAGGCTTCAGGCCTCGTTCTACAGTCGGAGTCCTGGGTCTGTGGATCTAACTTTTTTCCACTTTTTCATACAGAAGGGCCTAAGGACAGTGATGATCCAGAACATTTATGGATATTTACAGACATTTATTAACACTTTGGTCACCCCGCTCTTTGGTCGTTGCATCCTTACTATGCTAAAGTTAGAGATTTTATTTCTATTTTCTAGACCGGTATAAGTATAAGATAAAGAGATCCTTTTAAGAGATTAAGAGATACCTTTTATTATTATTATTTTAAAGTAGGAATGAGGAGCACATAGCACAAGAGAAATGAACAATACCTTTATACAAAAATGAAATGAAATCTCAAATATTAACATAATAAAGAAGCAAGAATGAAGTATAACATATCTGACTTTAGCATGATAAGAAGTTAGTATAAAATCTCTAACTTTAGCTGGGACATACCTGAGTTTGTTGTATGCAGACTTCTGACTTTCCACTTCCCCTCGCAGGCGATCGGCTTGTTGCTGTAGATGTTCCATTTGGACGTCGCTTCCTCTCTGAGCCTCTCTGTTTCTGTGGACGTCTTTCACCTGCACCAGTTCAGTCTGCAGCCTGCTGTGGGCGCGCTCCAGCTGGGCCATCTGAACACAGAATCACCACATTGCTATGCTAGCTTTGTTTTGTCGACATATTCCATCCACACTTTGAGCCCAGACCTTTTCCTCCAGGATAGCCTTCTCGCCCTTGACCTGGGTGAGGCTCTTGATCAGAGTCTTCCCCTGTTGGCACTCGGTCTGCAGACTGTTCACGTCCAACTTCAGCTTCTTCAGTTCACGTTCCGCCGCCTGTAAAGCCTGCACACAAATTAACGCGTCAACTATAACCATTTAACCAGTGGGTCAATGAATAACAGCTTTAGTTTCATGTTATGTCCATTCAGGCATTTCTTTTTGCATGCTGTTGATGTTTAGCTAAATGAGAGGGGACAGTGGGGGTTGTGGTTTCAATCAATCAATCAATCAAATTTTATTTATAAAGCGCTTTTCATACAAAAGATGCAACACAAAGTGCTTTACAGTTTGGTTAAAAACAATCCCGCCGGCCCGTGACCCCTCCCCCTGACCACCCAACAGACCCACCCCAAACCGCAGACAAACACACACAGATGAAATAGAAATAGACCAAAGAGAGACAAAAGAGAGACCAGAGAGAGACCAGAGAGACCAGAAAGAGACCAGAGAGAGACCAGAAAGAGACCAGAGAGAGACCAGAGAGAGAGAGACCGAACTGCGAGCAGAAAGAGCATGGAGAGAGTCTAGAGAGTATAAAAAAACTCCTCCTCAACAACCACAAAATACTTCAAGCTGTTTCAGACAATACCCAATCTTCACCCATTCAGTAACTCTCTCATCTATTATTATGAATATTCTTCTAGTTAATGCAAACTTATGAGCAGTGTTTAATTGATAACTCCAACCTCTCTCACCTAAAATGCATGCACGTGTGTGTGTGTGTGTGTGTGTGTGAATGAGGTGAGCTGTACCTCTTTGTCCTTCTTAAGAGCAGTCTGAGCCGCACTGAGATCCACCTCCAGCTGTTTCCTCCAGTCCTTCTCTTCAGTCAGACGAGCCTCCAGCAGCGCCAGCCTCTCCTGACTCCCGTCTCGTAGATGCTACAAATGCAAACGCAAGACTTGACTCTAGTGGAATGAGTGAAAGGCAACAAGATACAGAGAAACGGGTCCCTGTTTTGCATCATGAAGCAGAAATCCTCAGAGATATTGAGGTATGAGTTTAGTCACACAAGTGGAATATGACCCTGAGATTATTTTCCTGTATGTACAAATTTTGCCTCAACAGAAATAAATGGTTTAAGCTTCTTGGTTGTACATGGATCTGTAGTCCCAAAAAGTAAAGATATTTAAAGCTGCGGTAACTTATAAAATAAGTTACCGCAGGTAAAATATTCTAATATAGTTAACATTCGGTGAACTAGTAAGACGACAACATACTGTCTTTATCTGTATATCATTGCACATTTGCCCTATGCGTGGTCCTCTCTTTTTCACTTTTCTGTGTGAAGAAGCTGATTTGAAAATGAGGAATTTAGGTCATCGTTTTATTTATGTGGTTTGAAAGTAAGATACCCCAGCTTTTATACATGATTGATTACAACAATATTTTTGGCAGACAAAGCACAATTTCTCCCTCCATAATCATAACTTGTCTCAATTTCATGAACCCATTTTCATGTCACTGTATTCTGACCCTTTTCGCAGATACAAATTATTCTACTTCTTATTCCAAGGGGATATACAAAGATATAAATGGACTAAATAAAAGAAACAAGATTAAGACTATACCAGCTGCAAGTAGGACTCATTCTTGACGTCTTCTCCGTTCTTCAGAGGTCGCTCTTGGAATTGGTGTTTCCTCAGTTCCACTTCAAGACTTTTGATCTGCACAAAACCAGTTAAACCTGTAAATATGGGATGATGGAAGCCTTACCCTGAGTGCAAAAGGCTTCTACTGACTATGTTCAAATCCAGGTTAAAAGCAGTTCTGTTTAGCCGTGCATACACCTGAAGGATTTCATCTTCACTATTTTTTTATGTACTGTGGTTTTTTATGATGTTAATGCCTTGTGTAATTGTTTCTTTGTTGTTTTGTTAAGAACTTTGACTGTATATAAACTGACTATAAATTGTGCAATACAAGCAAACTTGCCTTGCCCTGCCTTACCCTCCTATGCAGTCCCTCCACCTCCCCCTCGTGCCGGTTCCTCTCCTCTCGGCTGCTGTTCTGAGTTTCTCCCAGTAAGGCCTCCAGCTCCTCGTTCCTCTCCTCCACCTCCTCCTTCTCCTTCCTCTGTCGCTGCAGCTGTCGTTGGAGGTCCTTCAGCTGCACCAGTCCGTCCTCTAAGGCTGCGTGACACCTGTGGTCAGACTAGGGTTATATATGGATATAAAAAAAGGCACTGAACACAATAAGAGTAATCAAACCGACAGTTTATCACAGTTGGAGATTCAACTCAATTCATTGTATTTCTGTATAGCTCTAAATAACACCAGTTGTTATCTCTGAGGACTTAACCAAACCCTAGAATTTCAAACAGTTCAAACACAAGAAATGCAATGATAAAAAACACATACTCTTAGAGCCATTAGTCCATAAGGGCAATTGATCATAGCCTGTGTTTGATGCTTTGAAAATGTTTTAATCTTTTAGTCCTTGAAAATGGTTTTCATTCAGTCTGTGATTATGAGAAAGTCGTTACGAGATATGCTTTCTCGCTTGTGCTCTGTAATGCTGTTTAAAGCTAAAGCAGTTCTTATGCACTGATGTAACTGGGCTTGTTCACACTAAAAGGCACAAAAGTGTGACAAAAGGCTAAAAATTAGATTTTAATCATCAGAAGATATTTTATGTTTTTCATGTTTCCAAGCACCTCCTCTGTCCATTAGAAGTTGCTAGAACATAACTGTTTTATACATTAGACAAGCTTCCTATAGCGGCCCTGTTTATTTTATGTAACGGACGTGATGATTTGACGGAATGAGCTTTGTGGAAGTTTGATAGGTATTTTCAGATATCCATATTTGATTCAGAGATTCTATTTTTTTTACACAAAGTAGATGCAAAGTGATACTTTCATATTGTCAACTAATTAAATGTGAAAACAGACCAGATTTTTAGAGAAAAGAGGACCGTCCTCATCACGTCCGTTATACATTTTTCAGGGGTCATTTAATTAATTAATTATTGTTTTATTTTTTTACGATTCCTTTTTATATCAAGTGATTCCCTTCTGTTGTGTTAACCATGTAGATCTTGTGGGATTTCATCTTCTGCATTTTCAGACTGAGGACATTTTATTTTCTATGTATCTGGCGTCACAGTAGAATGGTCCAATCAGAGGATGATTTGGTCGTTTAAAATGTTGCTAAACATTTTTATGTCAATCTTTCCTTTTGATTTTTTTCACACTATCTCTTCAATCTGTCTGTGTTTGAAATCTTTTTTCCAATCTATGAAAGTAATTTTAGTTTTTAAGTTATAACCTTTTAAAGTCCAGATACTTCAATTGTCACTTTACTGTGAACACACTCAACTATAGAATTGTTTGTCTTATATTATTGTTGTTTATCCATACTTTTGTTGGCTGTTTTTATGTAGCTTTTATGCATCTGAATTAATGTTGAATTTAATTATTTCTCCTTATCCGGACAGAGTGAACCCAGCAAACAAAAAAGGGTGTAAATGCCATGATCTGATGCAGAATGCAGTAAAATTCAGTATAAAATGTACCGTTTGTGAATGGGATCTGTTTCACTTGAGATTAAGGCTGATTTAGTTGCGATCTCCTCAAAGTCTCGCTGTTCTTGTCGGAGAGAAACATCTGATTGGTTGATTCTTGAAATCTATGAAAACACAAGAAGCAGTGAGAAATCCAAGTTTGAATTTCACTTGTTTTCACTCCACTCACCTTTTCAACCAGGTTTCTGTTGTCAGCCTCTAAAGTGTGCATTCTGTCTCTGAGCGCTCGGTTTTCGGAGTCCAGGTTGTCATTTTGATCTTTGGCTTTCTGCAGCTTCACCATATCTGAGAATATATTTATAAATGTTGGTGCTTTGAATGCAGGAACAGAGACGGTCTTAACATTTCAAGTCATATACAAGTCTATTGCACCGTTGCTTTTGAGTTTGTCCACTTCCTTCTTCAGGATTTCTACTTCTTGGACAGCCCCCTCACACACTAGGAATACAAACGATGTGTCACATGTGTAAAATTGTAGAAGTAATAACTGAAGTGTTTTACTGGTCATAACAGGAAATATGTATTTTTTAATCAAAAAAGGTGTCTGTTAATAAAACTTTAACAATTATACTTGATTGTCTGTGTACCACTTAAGTCTGTGTTGTTGTTTTTGGCCATGTCCAGTTCGTTGGTAAGTCTCCTGATGTCTTGGTGAGCCATAGCCAGCCTTCGAGACGCCTCCTCCAAGTCCCGCTCCAGCCTCTCTCGCTCCAATCGCTCCTGGGTGATCTCCTCGATACGAGCCTGAAGGAAAAATAACAGCTCAAGAAAGAGAGCATCCCCTGACTTTTACACTGTGGGTTAGGCAGAAGCATGCAGTGATTCCTCTGGGCACACCTGAGAGAAAGGATATTATTAGTAACATTGATTATAGATGATCAAGCCCCGCGTCATGCTGGTAAGTCTGTGATCATGCAGAGACATGTGAGGAGCTGGTCCGTTGATTGGTGTTAGTGGAGTGAAAGTAGATGGTAGATTTTAACGTACAGGAGTGAGATTGTATTTGCTCTGACCAGATCTGCGCAGACCAAACAGCTTCTTCCACGGACTCTGGGTTGGGCCCTGCTAAAACCATAAAGAGATATGTGCAAAAAGAAAATGCGATCTATTTAGTAGTAGAGTAGAGTAGAGTAGGGGCTATCTATAGTCTATAGTTGTCCTGGGAAACATAGCATAAGAATGGACTGATAAAACAAATCTTCAAATATCATGAAAGATCAGAATCCTTTACAAAACTGTTATTGTTGCATCTGCGTCTCCGTGGCGACATGTGATCTCACCTTTGCCATGTTTTCCATCGTTGTCTGCATTTCTTCCTTCTGCGTCCACAGCCCTTCACCCACAGACTGCCTCAAGTGCTCCATCTCCTGACATCAAAACATCAAAGACAAAACGTAAAGCTTTATATATATCCTTGTGCATACAGCAGATGGAATAGTAGGCAGTCCATTCTTTTGATGTCACCTGAATACAAGCAGAAAGACTTGCATACAGTGTAGAATCTTGTAAAGGAATGTACTGAGTGAATGTATTTCAATTGTAGAGTTTTGTGTAAAAACGGACACATTTGTAAGTTATACGAGAAACTATTGAAAGACAACGGTTGTGTTGAATTGACGGGGGTCTGCTTCATCCAACCCCTTTTTCAAACATGAATGTGTATATATTTTATGTTGGATTTGTGCTGTATGTGTTCTGAAATAAACATTTTGATTAACTGCTTGAGACCAGATAGAGACCAGAGAGAGGTCCTTCGCTCTGAAAGAGGACAGTGAGCTGTCTGTTCTGGAGGTTCTTTATGAATCCAGACTCTTAAACAGAGCACTTAGAATAGTCAATGACTCTTCTGGCTCCTGGAAAAAGCCATGTTCCAGCTTCTTACCTCTGGCAGAAGATATTGTTCGCTGAAATGCAGGACATCTGGATGTGCTAACAGCTTCTTTCAGCTGCTATCAGTCTGAACAAAGCAGTTCAATGATCTTGCACTTGTATTGAATTTTTTTTGTGGTGATCAAGGTTTTATAAATTATTATAGGGTATGGAGTTCAGTTACTAGTTTAATGTGATAATAGTGACACAAGTACCTGTAAGCGTTTTTCCCTGTAGTCCTCGCTCAGACTCTGCCCCTCCAGCCTCCTCTCTGTGTCCTCCAGTCGCTCCAGCAGCGTGGCCCTCTCCACCAGCAGATATGCCACCAGCTCACTGGGGGACGTCAGGCCAATTTCCCCCAGGTCCTTCTGGGCCAACATCTCCGCCAGCTCCTTACTCTCCACCTCTGAAAAACAAGAGGAGCAATGGACAGGTTCAATTCAATTCAATATATTCTTGTATAGCCCTAAATCACAACAGTCTCGGAGGACTTTACACAACCGTTAGATTCCCCAACACAGATCAGAGAATCAAACAATTCAAACAATAAAAAAGACTTTTTTGGTCCATAAAGAGCAGATGACCAAGTTCCAAGTGTTGATGAATGTACATATATGTTGTTTAATGTTGAGTGTCCTGGAAAATCACCATTGTGCTCTTAGTTAGACTCCTGCATTGACAAGAAAAAACTCTAAACCCAGTTGGAAAAGTGAGAAACCTCAGGGAGGCCCACATTGAGAGAGGGATCCGCTCTCACAGACGGACAGGCTATAGATCCAGGACAGACGCAAGGCAGGACTGACGCAGCTTGCAGGATGGTCTGCAGGTGCAGATGGAGCAGGCCGGGTTCAAGGATCCCATTGCAATATGAAACTAATATTTTACAGTCAGACAATTAAACTGGTAAGCAATAGACTGTAAGCCATAATCATCCAAATGATAACAATATATGTACTGATTGAAATACTGATTCATTTCAGTATTTCAGCATGTGATTCAATACGCCAAATACAGAATTATAGCTCATGTATTGTGTGGTCTGAACGCTTGTTTTCTACCAAATGCAATTTCACACAGAAAATAGTACAGTTTCTTTCATCTAGTTCTTGTGGCTGAATAACTTCTTGAAACCGTGAGGCCGACAGACAGAGTGGAGTATGTGAAGTATGTGATGGTTGGAGACGTCCTTGTTCGGTGCAGTGGTATTTACCCTGCTGCTGCTGAATGTGGTGCAGCTCCAGACGTAACTGCTCATTGTCCCGCTCGTAGTCTGCAGTGAGGCTCTCCCGCTCTTCCAGCAATCCTCGAATATGGGCCACGTAGCTTTCAACCTGAAAATAAAGACAATGTTTAAACACCTTCTTCAGTGTCTACAACAAATATCATTTACTTCTGAAAATACCATTTTCTGTAGATAAAATTACCATATTCTGTGGAAAAAATACAATCTTTTTTTGTTACCTTGTGTATAAACTGTGCGAGACTAATAAACATTTCATGCCATGCTTATAGTTACCTTTTGTGAGTATAGTATAGGTAACACTCTTTTAGAGTATGCTTAATAATGTCTCACTAGTTAGTGCATAGTTTTCAGTAAATGTTTTTAGTAAAGATATAAATAAATCCTCCAGACTTGATTACGTATCTATTTTGTTCCTTTGATCTAATTCATTCGAGCAAAATATTTACATTCCTTGTGAACATTGACAGACTTGCTTTGCCTATTAAAGTAATCTTTATTTATTTTACAGACTGAGAGTCACAAAGCGCAATTACAATTGTTGTGGGCAATTTTCCTCTCACTCCACACAAGATGAGAAGTAGGGTGAGGGTCGCCAAAAGGAGGCACATGACCTATCTTACTTGTTTTTAGTGGTAGGGGAAACCGTGGCACCTGGAGGAACCCTACAGGGATATGGAGAGAGCATGAAAACTACACACAGAAACAACAATCTGGAGGTGGAATTGAACCCAGGAAATTCTTGCTGTGAAGTGCTGCCAGCCTTATTCAGCTGTTTATTAAACTTTTACAAGCACTTTACTCGTAATTATTGGTTTTTCACAAGAATTACCATTTTAAATGGGTTTTTTGTAATAAGGAGGATGGTAAGTAGCCAGGCTAATTTAAATGAAATTAGTAAGATCAATGGATCAATATGACAAAAACAGTAGCGTTGGTAATTTATGCTTCCTTCTTTAAGAGACCTTTATTATCCCAATGTGTATGTGTTTGTGTGTCTTGTTGTGTCTGTCTTATACCATCTGTATCATTTGTATTATGTGTTTTTGACACATTTTTCACTAAATGGCATTATTATACCATTGTGTGTCAGCGGTTGGAATCAAATTTGATTCATCCAACCTTTTACTTAAATGTCACCTGTTATATTTATATACTGTATGACATTATGTGTTATGCAGGTTTGAAAAAAATTATTTTTTTTTAAACAATTAAATAAAAAAAAAATAATAATAAAAAAAATGCAAATGGCAAATAAGTTAATCTGAATCTGAAAAATGTCTAAAAAGTATTAGTAGTAGTAGCAGTAGTAGTAGTAGTTTATTTGAGAAATTTAAAAAGGTTTTTCTTCATGTACACATAATTTCAAGAAGGCCGACGCAAGATGCAAGAAGCTTATACTCTAACCCTAACCCTTCCCCATTATTTAAAAAAACGGGGAAGGATTACAACAAGCGTTCATCAATATGCTGGGCTTTTCTATAACATTGTACTGAAGCAGCTTTTAATAGTTGACCTAGGACATAGGGCGGCACGGTGGCTGAGTGGATAGCACTCTCGCCTCTCAGCAAGAAGGTCCTGGGTTCGAATCCCGGTCGGACCAGGGCCTTTCTGAGTGGAGTTTGCATGTTCTCCCCGTGTCTGCGTAGGTTTCCTCCGGGTACTCCGGTTTCCCCTACCACTAAAAATATGTCCAATAGTTCTAGCATGCGCCTCCTGTGATGGCGACCGCGCTCCCATCTCTGTGTGGAGTGAGAGACAAATGCCCAAAAATTAACAATTGTAAACCGCTTTGAGACTCAGATCTGCAGTGAAAAGGCGGTATATAAATAAATACTTACTTACTTACTTACTACCTTTGGGGACACAAAGATCTCAAAGATGTTTGAATAATTCACCTCTTCCATCTCGCTGGCCTGCTGCCTCCGGAGGCTCTGCAGCTCCTCATTAGCCGCCTGCAGTCTGGCCTCACAGTCCTGGAGCTGCTGCGTGAGCTGGTCCTGAGACTGGTCTGGACTGAGGCTGCCAGCAGAGTCCCCCTCCAGCCCCGGGACCTGGGGATGTGAGGTTATATGTTTATTTATAGGTTTTTTTTCTTTCTGTACTATATGTTCTTCTTCAAATTCTTATATAAGTCTGTCCAATTTCAACATAATTCTACCATGTGATCAGTAAGTGCTGTACATCGGTGCAGAGTGATGTCATATTTTAGACTTGGAATTGTTGGAAGAGAACACGAGAAAGAAAAACAACATTCAACAAGAAATCTGAAGTTTCTGCTTGCTGCAATTCTTCAATTAATCCAAATAATTAAAGCCACCCAGGTTTTCATAGTGACCTGTGTGTGATCTATGCAGTTGACACATGCAGGAGACTGGGGACAACAGAGAAGCTAAGCACCTGTCACCAAACTCATCTCTGTACAAAGGTGGTGAAACCGGAGAGTCCGGAGTGAAGGCCGCTGCGGGAGGCAAGCAGACAACATACGCACCAATGTCCACTATTGTTCACAAGGACAGGATCAGGTCTCTGCTCGAAGTACTTACACATCAGACTAAACACATAGATACATAAGAGTTCAGACCTAAAATTCTGCACTGGTCAGATGAACAGAATCAGAAGTAGCTGGAGGAGGTGTGTGTGGACAGGGAAGTCTGGGCGTCTCTGCGTCTCATTGAAGGTCATTGCCGCACAGTGTACACTCGAATCCATTTGAAAAGCACTGGCATCACAATGGGTCAAAGAATGTTGACCCACATTCCTGGGCTGTTTTATTTCTTTGTTTAAAAGTTATTATCAGATAATTAATTGTTTTCAACCAACTTCTTATGGAGTTTATAATTCATCCACTTCCATACATCACATTTCATTTCAATTTATTTTTGTACAGCCCTAAACACAACAACAATCGTCTAATGAACTGCTGAAAGTTAGCCGTCATTAATCTTCTAGTCGAACTAATGACCCGAGCCAAAAGTTGTAGATCCCTGCTTTACAAAGTTGTCAAATCACAGAGAATTGATCAGAGAATCAAACAGTTCGAACACAGGAAATGCAATAATAACAAACTGATAAGAGCCATTGGACGATAGTGAGCGGAATAACCGCAGTCCATTGATGTCATATTGTGTGTTATTTGTTTACTTATTTTGACTGTATTTGATCTATGCCTTATCTGTATCTAATATGATGGCAATGAATTAATGTATTGCTTTATTTTTTTTATTTTTTAAATAAGTTTGTCTTGACAGGGACCCCTGGATTTGCAACCACATTGGTGGAAGCTAATGAGATCCCCAAATGCATAAACAATAAACAATGTAATTTTTATACACGTACAGAAACTATTGCAAAACATTTAACTAACCACATTTGAGTAAAGTAGTGGGCTTCACCATGAGAAAGAATAAGAAAGAACAACAAACCTCTTTGGGATCCATCTATCAGTTTTGAAAAAAAGGCTTCATCAGCGAAACAAATGTTTTCTTATCACGTCCACTTCAGACGGCGCAGGACACATGGTATCTCCCATTGTTCCTCCTCAGTGCAATTATGAACGAACAGGCTCTAAGTCCTCAATGGATGAAAACTGTCCGTAGCAACTGCTTCATCCATTCTTCACTCTGAGGAGACGACAAGAGACATAATGGTCAAACCTGTTCAGACCAGAAGATAAAAGCTGACAAGAGGGGAAACTGATAAATTGCAGTAAAACTGATATAAGGATAATAAGGAAAAAATAATGAAGTAGTAAGTATTTAAGTGTCAAAAGCTGTATCATACCTCAATATACTGCTTCTTAATGTGTGGCATTTGCACAGATTTGCTTCTATCCTTCCTGCTGCTGTCAGACTGTACAACGAGAACTGCTGAGCCTGTACATATGCCATTTATCTGTGCTGATAATTCACTAATTGCTTTACTTTCTGTTATTACAACTATTTATTCTGGTCATATTATCTCCTGCTAAAATGCAATATCAACCATCTGTAAATGTGAAACTTCCATTTACGAGATGTATAAACCTAATGTAAATAAGCAGGCTGTCACTTCATGTCTTATTTATGCAACATTTACAATCAATGCATATCAAATAAGTGATATACACTGTGATTGTGCATTATTACAACTGTTTGAAACGTTTTGTTACTCAATTCTGCAAACAAAACATTCCCCAGCTGTCCCCCAAAATGTCTGCAGAGGAGGAGCGACTGTTCTGCCTCTTTTTGTGGGACAACAGCTTTGCATTCCTGAAGCAGCAAGTAACTAGCCCAACGCAAAGGCCGGCACAAACCCCCACACGTTCCACTTCCAATACAGAATAAAAACACAGCTTGGAATATATGTCAGTTTCTTAAGACAAAGCTATTAAAAACAAAGTTAGTTTCAACTTGGTAAAGCTGCATCCTTTCGCATGGAGCTAATGCTAGCAGCTGGTGGTAACATTCGCTCGCTTGTTTTATGCGCTGGGCTAAGCTGCATTTGGTCGCCTGTTTGGTGTCTTTTGAGGGGAGAATGGATATAAATGTTGCTTTGAATCGTGTGTCAGTCTAAAGGCGGTCTCTGCGAGGACGATGCACTCACCATTTTAGATGCGCTGGGAATGCTAACGGGCAGGCGCGCAGACTTGGCTTCTGAGATCTCCAAGGCAACGGGCTATACCATCGTGGTGAAAAGGGGTGATAAATAAGAATATTTTACGTTTTATCGAGTGATAGCAATTTTGATGCTTATATTTGGATTTTAAACTAACAACATAAGTCAAATTCAATGTTTACAACATTAGATGCCTGATGTCTGCTATTAATTAAGTTCAGAGCAGAATGACCACGGACTAGCAATGGTAACTTCCACTCGAGCAAGCTTCGCGAATCTGGGATCAGGTCCACAGCATGGGTCCACAGCATAATCCTAGTCTATGGTCAGTCTACGGCATGGATCTATTTATCGCAAATATTACTCGAGCTTAGATGTGACCATACATCTATGTTTTGTGAATATTTAGCGTTAATTTTCTCATCCTTCATTTGTGGTGGAATATGGGTGGAGCCCAGCAGGGACGTGCGGTGAGGTTTGTGATTGGGGAGGCACTGACTTTAAAAGTCAGATTTACAATCATTATTCAAATAAAATAGCATTTAATCACCAATGCAATGACATCCACAAACTTTATATACTGTAAAGATAAGAGAACCAGCTTCTTTTAATAATCTCACAACAAATCTAGCTGCTGACTCTGCTCCGCATCAAACAACATCTTTAAGAAGCGCAGGTGCGAGAGACGCGAGGAGAGAGAGACGCGAGGAGAGAGGAGCAGAGAGAGACAGAGAGGAGCAGAGAGACGGAGACGCGAGGAGAGAGAGAGACAGAGAGGAGCAGAGAGAGACGGAGACGCGAGGAGAGAGAGACGCGAGGAGAGAGGAGCAGAGAGACGGAGACGCGAGGAGCAGAGAGAGACGGAGACGCGAGGAGCAGAGAGAGACGGAGACGCGAGGAGCAGAGAGAGACGGAGACGCGAGGAGCAGAGAGAGACGGAGACGCAAGGAGAGAGAGACGCGAGGAACATAAACAATAATTTAAACAAGTTGCAGAACTCTTGAGCAGTGTTTGAATCAGTGTTTTTCGGAAAAGCACTACTTTGCCGGTATCTGTCAATGTTCAACATAAAACACAGATTAACAAACTCCTCCCCCGCAGCCGGACTAACCTCGTAAGTCCAGTGGTGGTCTCCCAGTCTATATTAATTCTTTCTTTGTTTGAAAGTCCAATTGAGAAAAAAAATCTTCATTCAAATCATCCATTTTCCAGCAAAAGAAATAGCATTTTGGGCTGATTGTTTGTTAGCAACTCTGGTATGAACTTTATGCTCACTATCACCCCTAGCGGTGAGGCACAGATACCGCCTGCCTCACGCCAAGCTTTTTCCTTGTGTGTTCATCTACGATCAAAAGACTTAAACTAAATATAAATTGTACACACATACGTGCAATACACTACTAAACACTAAGAGGAGTTTAAAAAATGTTTTTAAAGCAGGATATTTGAAACAAACGGTGATATATCAACTGCACGAGCTGAGTGCACTCAGACACACACACACACACTGTGAGGGAGCGGTCTGGGGTGAGGCACGCAGGAGCGCTGCCTCACCTCGTCTCTTTGAATAGGAATAACGGGATTTCGGCGATTTTGACTTCAGAAATGATCAAAACTGATGGGAACCGTGCCGAATATACATTAAAAGCATAGGACAGTGGATATAAATTATATATTTAAACTAAAATAATTATTAGTTTCCAATAATGGCAGGTGAGGCTCTGCCTCCCCTGCCTCCCCTGACTGCACGTCCCTGGAGCCCAGTGTCCACTAGATAGAGCCATACAACTTAATTAAACAAACTAATTCAATAGATACAGTAAACATTGGGGTTGACTATAACTTTAAAGTGGTTTCACCTCACCTCACATGTCATGCACCTGTGCAATAATGTAACAAGGTGCAATATGGGACTTTTGGCCCGGCGCCTAATGCTGCTGTACAGTAGTTTCAACAATGTGATTATTTGAACCCACAGAGCTAATGAATTGTTTCTCCAATGTACTTGCACTAGAGTGTATTGCTGACTTATCTGATGTATATGTACAAGTATAATCTTGCACTAGAGTGTATTACGGACGTAGATGTATAAATACAAATATATATGACTTACACTAGCAAACAGGTTTATACATCATATGTTTCATATTCAGATTCAGTTTACTTGCCATTTGCAGTAAAACCACATTGGATAAAACAAAAAACTATTTTCAAGATTTTTCTTAAATCGAGCTAGCGATAGAGTATAGAGTTTTACTATACTTAATATTAATTGTTGTGTGCTCCTCATTCCTACTGGTCTGTAGCTTATGATGCAACACTGGAATTTCTCCACTGTGGGAGGAATAAAGGATCTCTTAATCTTAATCTTTAGTGTGTTATTTTCTAGTTACAATATATGCAACAATTCCCCCCTCCATAACTATCTATACATTACAACATCCATAGAAATGAATACATTTCACTTTGTTCCATACTTCCATCAGTTTATTATCTTGATCAGTACTGTGTCTCTAGTTTGAGACAGGATAGAGTACGAAATAGAAGACAAAGACTCAAATCTGGGTGAGGGTGACAGACAACATCAAGCTGCTTTTTAAGGTTGTTAATGCTGGAGTGGAACTAGGTCCCATGAGTGCACCCTGGTCAGAGATTCAACTGCAAACTTGAAGAGGAAAAAACAGAAGATGAACACACACACGAACAGCCACACCCACACACATGCACACACACCACACACGCGTGCACACACACACACACACACGCCCCACTGTGGCAGCTGGTGTTCTGAGATTTAACAGATGTTAACTGGATTGGCACAATATGCTGGAGTTTACAATTATTTTTGAGAATAAACTAATTGAACAGATACTAAAACAGTAGTTTTACTCATCTGTGTACCAATTTTACTCGTTCTCGCCCAACCAATAACTTCAGACCCATACATTATGAAAAATGTAACTGTGCCTTTAAGAAGTTGTCCCTTAGCCAATCTTCTGCCCTGCAATTTTACACCTCCATGTTGTTTCCAAACCAGGCTTTTTTCCCTTTGACCATTTAACCCATTCTTTCCCATATGGTCGAGCCTTTATTAATCCATTCTAAATCTTTGGGTACCCCATAAATGCAAACAGCAAACTACCAAACTCACCTCTGCACCTCCCTCTCTACTCCCACTGGACCCATTTCAACATGTGCCTACTTTTATGTGCAGTTTCCAGTGGGGTTGGGTGGGTCGTTTTTGCAGTGGATGATGATGTTGTTGAGTGCAAAAAGGAGCTCTGTTCTCTCCAAAGGAAGTGGGCGTTAACCTCAGAAAGTTTGGGATGAAGGGACTAAAAAAAGGGGTGTGGTGAGAAGAGGTGGCCCACCAAAACTGGCACTGAGGTTTGAAGAAGTTGGAGATCGGAGCTGAAGACTAAACCAAGGTAAGACACAAGTTTTTGCTTTAGAAATCTGATAGTAGTATGAGATTTCATAACACTTTGAAGCAACTTAGTATTTACTGTAATGTAATGTTTTGGCAAGTTACCCAAACTTTCCTAAACAAGAAGAACTCTATGGTGTGATAAAAATCTAACACCATGGCTATGAAAAATTCAAAACATAGTATAGGTTTAAGTAAGTAATCTTTATTTATAGTCATATAGATACTACAATTCAAGTACATTCTGACTTCTTTCAAGAACTGTTGCTTTATTTCTCATTCCATAGGAGACATTTCTTGAATCATTTAGTTTTATACATTTTAAAACAAGATAGTTTTGTTTGTCCCATTGGCAAATCTTGTTTTAAGGCAAACAAAATGTCTTTAAATCAAGATAAATGTTTCCAAATTTGAGCAATTTTTGTCTTTTTTAAAATGAATTTTATTATGGATGGGACAACAATTCTCAAAACACGGTATAAACGAGAAACAGATTTCTTGAATATCCGCTTTTACTTTTTGACTGAAAGGGTATAAATGCTAGCCGCTAAACTATGTTAAGCTCTTGCTTGTTGTTTCATGTGACATATTGCTGTTATGGCAGTAATGGATGACTGAATGACACACCTCTATATTTCCATTGAATCCGGCAGGTGACGTGACCAAGCTCTTTTTGGTACGTTCCCTCAGAATCTCACATGTCTGTCATCACACGTCAATGTAAAATCACAAGATTGTTTTGAAGCTCATAATTAGACACACTCAAATCTGACCAGAGATGACTGGTTGTGATTATATAATATCAAATGACTCAGATTTCCACCTCAAAGCGTGGAGGTTGGTTGGATTCCCAGTTTGGATCCTGGGCTGTGTTTGCCTCTGACAAGTTGCCCCAGCAGCACTTCAAAGAATGTAAAGAGAAAATTCACTGGGGTAATAAGTTGTACTTTAGCTCGGCATCCTACAGCTGTCCATCCAGAAAATATCAAGAGCTTGGACTGCAGACACTGCTCCCTCTTTACCACAACAGTCCGATACAGCCAGGACAACAAGGACCTCTCCATCTATAAATATTCTTCTTTAGGTTTGCTCGAAATACGTTTTTGTTGTTCTGATGGCGTCTGTAAGTCACTTGGAATTTTCCTCAGTATTACAATTTTTATAATTACAGATATTATTAGTGCTCAAATCCACTTGGAGCAGTGCCTTACCTCTGCAGATGTAACTTAGCCGAAAGAAGTCGCTCACACCTTTACTGCACTATAAAACATCCCGGTTGAAACATTTTGATGAACTCAAGCAAAGAGCTGATGAAAAGATGCGAGCGCACTTCACTTCACTTATTTTAATCCTAAATACTTATTTTTTGTCCCAACAGAAAGAGCCTTGTTTAAGTAACATAGAAACACAAATTAGACCTCAACATTCTGTCATATTATAAAACATTTGATCTTTTACATACATAGAGGTGATTGACTTACTGGGACCCACAGCAATTTCCCAGTTTGTGACTTCCTGTTACTCACAATGGCAATAAATAATATCTGATTCTGATTTAAAGATGTGACCCAGGCCAAACACAAATGCATGTGAAAACTCGTGATAGAACCTGCTTTGAGAGGTCACTGAAATAGATATATACTGTATATATAGCATTTGTAGCCTGATTTCTGGATTCTGGATTTCTGGATCTACAGCCCGTCCATCTGTGGGAGCGGATCCCTCTCTTTTTATGGGCCGCTCTGAAAGTTATAAGTTTTCCTCCCGGTTTTGTTTTTTAGTTGTTCCTTACCAATGCAGGAGGATTCAAGGCCAGAGATGATCCAGGACATTTATTAATATTTTTGGATATTGGTCATCCTGATCCATATAGACCAGGCATGTCAAACTCAGGCTCGTAGGCTTAATCCGGCCCTCAAGACAGGGTTTAGTGGCCCCTAAAGTAAAATTTTTAAAACTTGCATTATTGATGGATATGGGTTTACCAAGTCATGTTATACATCTGGAAAATTTTTAGAATACATCAAATTTAATGTATTCTAAAATGTCAATCCAACACATCATTAGAAGTTACATTTATATATGAGACAATGTGTTTAACTGTTTTGGTTAGATCTAAACAATAAACAAATTTTGTTTTCATAAAAAGACCAGTTTATAGCCTTTTTATTCGGCCCCTGACCAAAATGAGTTTGACACCCCTGCTAGACCAATGACCAGGAGTCATGTGTTTGTTATTAGTTAATATCCTGCTTCAGTCTCAGATTCAGATTAATTTATTTGTCATTTCCAGTAAAACCACATTAGAATACATGTCCCGAGTGTGCGCCAGACAAGTACATTAATAAAACAAGGCTTAAAAAAAAGGGGATAAAACCAACAAACAAAAACATGCAGGAAACAACTGATGCTATAAAATAAAACAGTTTGATTCTCTGAATAGTTGTTGGCAAAGCAACAACTTTGTAAAGCCTTCCAAAACAACTGCTGCTGAATTTAAATTAATAGTTTTGGGGTTTCAAAGTTAGGTACTCTAGCTTTAGGCAAGTTAGTAGCATTTCAGTAGCATCAATGGTTGTATATGAAGTAGCAGTAAATATAAAAATGACAGCTGGATTCATTACATTACTCATATAGTTTATGTCGCAGTAAAAGCCATGTCTTGTGGCATTGTAACTTCAATCGCTTTTGTCTGCATCTGTATGATCTGATAGCAGACAGCCCACCCACTTGGACCTCAGCCTAATCAGCCTCAATAAACATCAAACTCTCTCTGTCCCTTTGAGAACTCATTTAAGCTGTCGCGCCCTTTATGTCTGCTTTATAAAATACATAACACAGTAGATAAAAAGAGAAAGTAGCATTCAGAATCAAAAGACATAAGACCCATCAACTTGCCTGTAACTGTATACTGCAAAAAATGATAAAACATGAGGTAATAATTCAATTGAGTGGTTTTATCTTAATTTGAGTACATTCTGACTGTCTTAAATCAAGATTTGCCAATGGAACAAGAAATGTAGTCTCATTTCAAGAACTGTTGCTTTATTTTCTCAATCCAAAGGAGACATTTCTTGTATCTTTTTAAAACAGGATAGTTTTGCTTTGTCCCATTGGCAAATCTTGTTTTAAGCCAGTCAAAATGTAGTGTAGTAGTGCGTTCTTATATATTGACAAAGCAGTAGTATAAAACTTCTTTACACAGGTCTGTAAAAATAAAGGCAGAATAGGAGGCAAAGTTTCCCCCAAAATAAATCTCTTAATGAAAGCCAAATGTCTGACGAGTTACAGAGCGCCCATTCAGATGATTTTAATTGGATGAAGAAAACTTGGCTTGGGTTTTTTCCCTACATTCAAAACACACAAATCTGGCAATGTTTATGATTCACTGGTGCTATGTAATCAGCGCACCGAAGAAGCATTTTACTATTATTTTTTAAAGGTAAAGTGGGGATTTTGGGAATGTGAGTTTTATAAATCTTGTTGAATGTAGTCTGTTTGTTATAGGAAATTAAAAAGTAGAAAAATGGCGTACCTGTTGATGTTTGTGACGCTGCTTCACCTCATCACACTGGCCATGCTGTTCATCGCCACAATGGAGAAGGTAAGTCATTTACCACACATTTTACCTGAAAACACTGGTTGGATTTTTAAATGTGTGTGTTATTGTTCAATTATCTTGAGCTGTGTGCCCCTCGTTCTTGCTGTTTTGTTACCGGTGATAAAAACACTGACATTTCCTCACTGTGGGACAGATAAAGGATTTCTTAACTTCTTTATCTGTCTACAGTCCTGGTGGGTGTGGGACGGTATGGAGAACTCTGATCTGTGGTACAACTGTAGATTTGACAATGCGACCGGAACCTGGTTGTGTTCATCGTCTAAAGAAACAGGTGACAAATCCTCTGGTCGTATGTGATCTTATATAATACTCACACTTTGGTTTCACTCTGACTTTGATGTTTTGGTCTCAAGAGTGGCTCCAGGCAGTCCAGGTGCTCATGGTCCTGGCTGTAGTCTTCTCCTCTGTGTCCTTTCTGGTCTTCCTGGGACAGCTGTTTACCATGTCCAGGGGAGGACTGTTCTACTTCACTGGACTGTGCCAGATATTTGGAGGTAAGATAAAACTTTATAATCTTGCAATGGAAATATGCATGTAGCATTTGGATTCAATGCGATCACCCAGGGTGTGTAAATAGACAGGAAATGTGCAAACAGTTAAAAATTAAAAAGATATAAGGTATAAAAAGGCGGCCACTTATTCTTTCGCGAGAGTGGCGAGTGCTTTCATTGCCACTTGCGGCTTTCATTTTTAATTCATGTATTTCTTTTTGGAGCAACTTTTTAACATCACATTTACATTATTCTATAACGGAGAAAGACCAAAAGGTGTAAAAGCTCACATCTACGCCTACCTCGTAATCGATACAAATCAACTCTTAGTGTTCAGATTTGAGGTTTTTAGAAAATTCACCCACTACAAACCAAACAGATATACCATATTGTCTCACGTTTGTGCAGGTCTGACCGCCTTCACTGCAGCCTTGATTTACACTCTACACAATAAGGAAATCCTGCAGGATCTCCGAGAGCTGGAACTCGGGCACTTTGGATACTGCTTCTTTCTGGCCTGGGTCTGCGTTCCTCTGCTACTGCTCAGCGGAGTCATTTACATCCATCTGCGCAAAAAGGAGTAATCTAAGAGACCACAAATGTGCACACAGCTTTAAACATATCAAGCCATTATATTTTAGAGGTGCTTCAATCAGTGATCTACCAAAAAACAAGGTGTATAAGGGTAAAAGAGGTAGTAAGTAAGTAAGTAAACCTTTACATAGCTTATAGACTTTTAGTACAGTCCAAAAGACAGCGATGTGGTAGCTCAGGCGTGATATTGATAGTATGATAACATGAAACATAAATAGGTAAACAATTTAGTTAGTTTGATGTATTTCAAACCTGCACAACCCAATTTAACTAATACAGGTTTGACCCTACCATGGGGCATGAGAAGCACAAAAAACTAAACCACACACTCTTTGACTCTTTGACACTCTTTGTGCTGATGGCATCACTCTTTCTACTCCATGTACTTCTTCAACACTTCTTTTTTTAAGTGTTGAACAGGTGTTTAAACAGGTTTGAAGATGTTTTTATTTAATTTGCTAAATCGTTAGGTACATATAGTGTTTGTCCCTGCTTAGTCTGTAACTATGGTGTGCATCTCTGTCATTGAATAGGTTCCGTAAAGGAGGTGGCGGAGAGTTTAACAATCAAGTTAAAGGAGAAAGAAAGTGTAGAAAGAAGGGTAAATACACAACAGGACAATACCATGAAAACAGTATCAAAGAAGAGATTTTTGTTCAGCTGTATGAGTATGGTGTGAATGTAGACCTATATCTTCATGAAGGAGAAAAGTTTGTCCAGTGTTCTTTTGTCTCTCACTGTGATGAAATGTCTGCAGATCACATGACCCACTTTACGGATCAGCTTGTCGATCCAGCCCATGTCTATGATGTCTATCTATTTGTTTATTTAGCAGGTTATCAGTTTTTTCTTATTAAAAACACAGCAATACTTTTTTATCCTTCGCTTTATAAAGTTTATTTATGTATCGTGATATTGGTCTTAAGTTGTGGGTTACAGTGGCTCAGTTGGTAGAGCATTGGCCTTTGGGCCTGAAGGTCGTGGGTTTGGAGCCCACCACAAGACTTCACAACTGCCACTGATGGCTGCTGCCGTTGTGTCCTTGGGCCAGACACTTGACCCCACTCTGCCTGAAGCCCCCGCTGAAAGATCAAGGCTCCTGTGGACTCACCACCTGCAGGAGGATCAATGAGGGGCTGGTGCTAAGTGTACTGGGTGCAGCTCTGACTGCAACCCCCTCAACCCAGAAATGGATTAACGGGAAGAAAATGTATGTATGTATATTGTTTGCATCACAAAGTCAATGAAAAACATCTCCTGGTTTTGACATCATTCAAAGTAGCAACTTTGTTATATTTCAAGATGTGTTTACTCAAAAGCTATTATGAAGAATAGTTCCGAGCCTTTACATATACATACATTTAACATATACACTTTTATATATTTCATACAAGAAATGCAGGTCAATGTGATTATCATCAGGAGAGACATTGCATCAAATCACGACATTGTATTTTATTTGGTGATAGATTTAAAGTCTACTGAAATTATTTTTGAACAAATGAGTCTTGAAATGACTTTGCATGCTTTGAATTGAGCTAAAAACAATATGTTGAATGGAGTTACTAATTATTGCACATTACTGTTTGATTCTCTGATCTGTTGTTGGTGAATGTCTTCCAAGACGACATGATTTAGGTATAAACATAAAAACAGACAACAATAATCTAAATTGAAATTGAATTAAACAATGTGGGCCTTTAGGACACCTGTCTTATGCTTTGTATACAAATTTACAAACATGAGTGTAAAATAAAATACATTCATAAATAAAAAAAAAACATTTTCATTTATTATTTCTTCGTTTTTGATTTACCCCGTGTTCAGAGTCTCGTTTCCATGACAACAGTTAGCCCTCAGTTAGCTAGCGTCAGTACCGTATACTTTCTTGTTTAGTATTTTTTTTTTACGTTTTTTGTTGTTTTCTGATTTCCAACGCTTTTGTATACATGGAAAAGAGAGATATAGCCAGGGCACACGGGATAATTCCTCTTGCTTTACCAAAGGGGACGGAGAAGCTGTGTGAGCTGTGCCAGAGCAGAGCCTACCTCCAGTGCGAGCGGTGCCGAGTCACGTACTACTGGTAAGTTAGCTAGTTAGCTAAATAGCAAGTTACAAATTTGACAAACAGGTGGGTTTGAAACTGCATAACGACATAAAAAAAATATATATATATTCAACTTTGAACTACAATACCATACTTGTTGTGGTACCTAACTTTCAATCACAGAATAAAAAGTTCTACTAGTTTAGTTCTAGGCAAGGCCATTTTATTCAACTCAAAGTGCTAAACAAAACAAGATAGAACCAACAGGTCAATAGAGTAAAGATACAATCCCTCATGCACAGCTAAACAGAACTCATTTTAACCCGAGACTCCAGATCCACGCCAAGACTGGCCTTACTGTTTACACCGAAGTCTATAAATCACAGCCTTTCCTCCTTCTCTCGGCTCTTAACAACCGACACCCTAAGCTCCTCTCCAACATGAAACTCAGCACCTGCCACCAAGACCCCACGACATCCCCTCTCCTGAAAGCCTGCCTTCCCTCTCTGACCCCACTCATCACAAACATTATAAACTCCACAATCAAGGCACTCCTCAAAAGCCCAATCATGGGACGCCAAAAACCTGGACAACTTCTGCCCCATCTCAAATCACCCCCTTCTGTCAAAAATTGAACGTGCCGTCATCACCCAAGTCCAACAATACCGGCACACCTTCACCCTCTTTGAAATTTTCCAATCCGGTTTCCTTCCCCATCACAGCACCAAAACAGCACCCCTAAGTATCCAACGCTGGCTCTGGGCACCAGTCCCTGTGCTCCTCAGAGTCCCAGCAGGAGGCGAGTCCCAGTGCTCTCAGTTGGTTCAAGATTCAAGATTCAAGATTAATTTATTATGTCCCGTAGGAAATTTGTCTTGGACTCACAGGCTGCTACATTGAAAATACACATAAGACAGACATAAAACACAACACAGTGACACCGACATAAACCATCACCGCTCTGCTCGATGGCCTGCATTCAGGAGGTTCACAGATATGGGTAGGAATGAGTTCTTATACCGGTTTAGATATCGTTTCTTATTTCTAGTGGGTACTCTGTAGCGGCGGCCTGATGGGAGGAGCTCATACTGAGAGTGGAGGACATGGGAGGGGTCTGAGGTGATTTTCCTGGCCTGTCTAATTACAGTCTCCTCAAATATCTGCTGCAAAGATGGATGCTCCCTAACTCCCATGACTTTAAAGGCTGTGCGCACTAATCTGTAAAGTTCTGCTTTTGTTTTAACAGTCAAATTCCCAAACCACACACACATACCATATCTTATTACACTCTCAATTACAGCATGATAAAATAGCGTCATTATTTTCTGTTCAACTCCAAAAAGTCTTAATCTCCGCAGGAAATAGAGTCTTTGTTGAACCCTGCTGCAGACAGAGTTTACGTGTACATCCCAGACCAGACTTGAGTCGATGTGGTTCATATGGCACTAGCATGTCACAGTTGTACTTTGGTGCAAGGCCATTAAGAGACTTGTACACAAGCAAATCTGCTCCTATAATTCGCTCCATTTGAGGTTGTAACTCTTCGTAGTTCTACAGAGACTTTTAGTCCTTTCCCTTAGTCACAGACACAGCATAGTAACAGTGGACTTTTTTTCTAGATTGCAGTAAAAACTGGGCTATCTAACTTTCAAATCACCACAAATGGAACTTTGTGATCTTCGCTATGTAATTATTGGTCCTCACTCAGCCACAATCTCTGCAAGAGTGAAAGAAAAATCAAACTCCAAAGACTGCCTGAATTTTGTTAATAGCCGGTGTCTGGGGGTAGATTGTTGAGGTTGAGGCAAAGTAAACTGAAAACGAGATTTTGGGACCTGGAATAAAGCAAAAATTTCAAGGCTGAATACATAAGCTATAATTCACTTTAAAACTATATTTTATGGTTCAAACTGGTCCTGATTCATCCCTGTGTTTGATTTGTCTGTAATTATTTGGGATACATGTTTTTATCAATTAAATTTCTAAGAGTTTACATTACATAAGAGGCTACATTATATTGATTATTGAGTGATCATGGGCCTCTTGGCTGCATCTCTGATCAGTCTTCTCCTTGTTTGAGATGAAAGATTGGAGGGACGGCCGGGTCTTGGTAGATTTGCAGTGGTCTGATACTCCTTCCATTTCACTATAATTGCTTGCACAGTGCTCCTTGAGATGTTTAAAGCTTGGGAAATATTTTTGTATCCAAATCCGGCTTTAAACTTCTCCACAACAGTATCTCGGACCTGCCTGGTAGTGATGTGATGAGCGGGCCGAGTCTTCGAAGCATGGACCGAGTAATCTGGGGGCGTTTCTTTTGAAGTGTGGGTCGAGGCGTGTATTGGTCACGTGTGTGATGACGTTCGAAGCCTCGCGAACGGCCGTACCACGTGACTGATTCAGGAAATGATTCGTTGGTTTGGAGCGCGATTCGAAATAAAAGGGACGAGTGAACGCAATGGATTCCCCTTCATCACTTTGTGTGTTTTTGGGTTATTGCGCTTCTCATTTGGCATCCTATTTGGCATCCTATTTGAGCTTCTTTTTTGCGATGGAACCGGCAAGAAAGAGAAGATTTTCTCCAGTTTGGGAGCACTTTGAGCAGATCTCACCTAATAAGGTAAGGCATAACAATAATTCTGTAATAATAGATTACACAAATATGACAACACATAATTTCTCTTGCTCACTTTTCTCTGTTATAAATACGTTTGAATAATAGTTTTTTCAATTGCAGGTGAAGTGTCTGTTATGCTCCAAACAACTGGGTTATAATAATAACACCTCAGCTATGCTAAGGCACTATCGTGCCTTGCATAGCAATGTGGATTCCAACCCAGGTGAACCTGTCTCGGGTAGGCCATTTTATATCATGATAATAATTGATGATTGTCCTACAATTTCACTAAATATATTTTATTTGAATGTATTTGTTCATTAGATAAATTTCTAATCCTAATGTGCATTTTCTTTCAGCTGAGACGGTTGACTTGACTGAGGCGTTGGTGGATATGGTGATTGAGGATTCCCAGCCCTTTTCCATTGTGGAGGGAACCATGGCTTCCGAAAGCTTGTGAAAGCTTTGGCACCATCTTATGTTCTTCCGACGCGGCAGGTATTTATGTGAACTATTAACAATTTATTATCCTCAGATCCACTATTTCAAGACTTTACTTTTTTCAGACTTTGAAAGCCATGGTGGAGAAGAGATACAGGGAAGCCAAAGACAAGGCCAAAGTGGTGGTGTCTTCTGCATCTGCTGTTAGTTTAACAGCAGACATGTGGACCTCCATCAACACTGATGCCTATCTTGCAGTGACTGGTCATTTTATTGACGAGAGCACTTCTCTGCAGACTGTTGTCCTTGGGGTGCAGCATTTCCCTGAGGCACATACAGCAGCAAATCTAGCGAGAGTGATGACCTCTCTTATGTCAGAGTGGGGTTTAGCAGGAAAGGTGACATGTCTGGTGACTGATGGTGCTGCGAATATGGGAGCTTGTGCTCGAGAGCTACATATGCGTCACACAATTTGTGTGGCACACACGCTAAACTTAATGATCAAAAAAGCTCTCGACCAAAGTCCTGAGTTGTGTGACATCAGGACAAACTGTCGTAAGATAGTAGGATACTTTAAGAGCAGCACTACTGCAAAGGTAAGGTCCTTACTTGTAATATGTCAATTATTATTTCTGCTCCTGCACTGTTTTAATTTGTTGACTGTTCTATAGGAGAGACTTACACAGATTCAATCACAAATGGGTCTCTCCGTGCTTAAACTTATTCAAGAGGTGGATACAAGATGGAACAGCACGTACTTATTGCTTCAGCAATAAGTAATACGTGTTCAACCTGAGAGAGCCTGTTGGAGCAGCTTTGGCTGGGCTCCGTACAGACATTACACAAATCTCAGCAGAACAATATAACATCATTGCAGACTGTCTGAAGGTGCTCGCTCCATTCTACTATGCCACAATTGAGGTGTCCGAGGAGAAAAGAGTCTCTGGGTCAAAAGTAGTTCCATTCTCCATAATGCTCTGGAAGAAGAGGAGATCGGCCATATCCAAACACCTGAGAGCAGAGACATGGCTGAGTATTTGCGAAGACAACTGAGGGACAAGCTCAGCCACCTCCAATCAATGAGCATCATGTCCCTCTCTACCTTGCTTGATCCCAGATTTCAACCCCAATAAGGCAGCAGAAGCTGAAAAAAGATTGATTGGCGAATGTGCTCGAGTTTTGAGACTTTCATTGTCCGCTTCTGCTTCATCATCATCATCACCATCATCATCATCTGTAGCTGAAGGTAATATGTATACTCTATTTGTGCTAATAAGTCACTTATAACCTGTTTATTCTGTTTTAGGGAGCAAACTGTGGCAACGTTTTGACACGACATGCCAGCAGACCAAAATCCCAAACATAACTGCCAACGCTACAGTGGAGGTCCAAACATACCTGGGGGAGCCAAATATTCCTCGACTCGAAAGTCCCCTTCAATATTGGGACAAACATAAGTTTACATTTCCAAATTTATATAAACTTGCCATTACATATTTATGTTCACCTGCATCCTCTGTGCCCTGTGAACGGGTTTTTTCACAGGCAGGTGAAATACTGTGCAAAAAAAGAAATCGCCTGAGTCCAAATACTCTTGAAAAATTATTATTTTTGAATACAAATGAATAACTGTATTGTTTGTTTTTCAACTCCTGTCAATAGTTGCATAAGCACTTACATAAACAAAGTAACACAAGCACATTTTACATAACAACTGTCTCCACATCATTGGCTGTTTTCTTTCAGCCCATGTTCAGACCCTACCATTTGTTATAGGCCCTTGGCATGTATTACATTTCTTTGTCCACATGATGGCGTAGTGGAGCATGATTCACCTCGAGCCTTCGACTCATGGGCGGAGTAATAGGCTGCGATCCCTCAAGGCTTCATGGGGCTTCATATTGCCATCACTACTGCCTGGTGTGTTCCTTTGTCTTCATGGTTCTCTCTGCGCTTTAAACAGAACCCTGAGACTATCAAAGAGCAGGTGCATTTATACGGAGACTTGATTACACACAGGTGCATTCTATTTATCATCATCAGTCATTTAGGACAACATTGGATCATTCAAAGATCCTCACTGAACTTCTGGACTGAGTTTGCTGCACTGAAAGTAAAGGGGCCGAATAATATTGCACGCCCCACTTTTCAGTTTTTTGTTTTTTGTTTTAAGTTTAAATTATCCAATAGATTTTGTTCCACTTCACGATTGTGTCCCACTTGTTGTTGATTCATGACAAAAAATTAAAATGTTATATCTTTATGTTTGAAGCCTGAAATGTGGCAAAATGTTGAAAGGGTCAAGGGGGCCGAATACTTTCGCAAGGCACTGTACCAAGTCTGTGTTATCATTAATCAAAGCAGGTCCATAACATAATGCGCTCACTCCCATATTTGACACTGGGGATGGTGCACTGAAGGTGATAAGCAGTGCTCCTTTCAGGGATAAAAGGTCTTAAATTTGGGACAAAAAGTATATATTTTTCTTATCTGACCACAGCACCTTCTTGTTCATGTTGAATGTGTGCCTTGCTTTGCTTCTTGTGACTTTATTTCAACATTGGCTCTCTATTTACCGTACGTCCAAAGATGGCAGCTTTGTGGAAGGTCTGACTAAAATTTTGCCCCATGTATGGATCCTCCAGTATAGTTGCAGAGGTTGGCATCTCCTCTGTAGATGCCACATTCGTTGGACACTTGTACAGGTGGCTTTCCATTGACCTTGAAGGTCTTCCACCCAGAAATGTATTAATAAAGGGGAAGAAAATTAATTAATGAAGGATGGATAACTTTTTAAAGTATAAAACATGTGTCCTAACTGAGTGGGCTTGCATCTCCACAAACCTGTCCCTGGTTTTCTTCATATTTTTGTTGATTCTTCTTGATGCTGTTTGACTCTCTAATCTTTTGTTGGAAAACTGACAACTTTGTACAGTCCCCCGAGGCGACTTTTGTTGTGATTTAGGGTTATACAAAAACAAATTCAATTGAGTATAGATTTTGGTTTATTTGTTTATTATTTATTATCGACTGTAATTTAATATGTAAAAAGGCTAGAGTTGCTCTATTCAAAATGATATATATTTTTTGTCTAACCCAGTTCCTCCGCTAGATGGCAGTGTGCACCTATTCATTTCAGTGTCGGAAAAATCCCACGTAGGCATTTGTTGAGGACTCATGTGACTGCCTTCTGCTACTGTAAGGAGGAGGGGGAGCTGCACAAGGAAGGAGAGGGTGGACCCATCGAAACAGCTGGAGAACAAAAGATCTTCCCTCATGTTGGTGTGAAGGAATTACTGTCTCTGCGACAGCGCAAGACGGACCAAACAACACATCAGACCAGACACAAGCCATGGCAACAGTGGGCAAGGTGGGCCTCCGTGCCTTAGTTACAGATGATAATAGAATGGGGCGTGCTTGGAGAAATCCTAAGCTTTGGTTCAGTGTAGAGAGGGCAGAGCAACATTCCTTTCTCCGACTGGACTTAGGGAGATGAGCCACTAAACCATGTCTATTTAGGGGAGCTTATAGCCACATAACCAGTCCGTTCTTCCCAGCCTTTATGCTCCATGTTGGAGCTTTGACTGCACCAATGCGATTAGATTGTAATGTGTAAAAAGTAGGATTGTGTGGATAATTGGATATACAGTATAACAATTACACATGTACACAATGCACACATTTAACAAGTTTGCAGAGGTCAAAACTACCTTATCATTAACTGTGGTAGTGGTCTCTTTCCTACTGAAAAAAACCAGGCCCATAACATGGCTTCTTGCAGCAATCTGACCAATCACAGCTCAGCCTGAAGGTATTAAAAAACTATTAAAAAAGTACCTGGTACCATTAAACAGGGTCAGATGGAAACGCTCCCAATTGGGGCTGAGTGGAGAAGAATAAGGTTATTATAAACTTTATTTGGTTTGACTCCTGATGGTATGACAGACCTTCGAAAAGTGAAACCTTCTATTTAACTAATAAATAAAACTAATAACCTATGACTTAATTTTTTTTGGACAGGATGTAAGTATCAAGCCACAAACAATACATAATACAATATAGATGGAATTGTTTGTTATCTTTCTATACCACATATGCCTCAGTAACTGTATTCTTTGTTGGTGATTTGAACACAAAGGCAAGCAATGAGGACCTCCTATTAATAAGTGCTGTAAAATCATACAATGGTATTAAGATAAGATAAGATAAACCTTTATTTGTCTCACAGTGGAGAAATTTCAGTGTCATTGTTGCGCACATTACAGCAGAGAAAGAAGGAAATAAGAGCACTCAGATTGCACACATCAAATAAGTCTATTATTTAAGATAATAGACAGTAAAATCAAGATAAAGAATAAAATAATAGAATAAAATAAGCTCTGGAGCTATAATTGCACTTGGTTCAGAAGTATTTACAGATGTGTATATTGTACTTTAGCAGCGTAGAATATGAGAATATGAATATGAGCCGAATAAATATCAAAAATAATATCAACAGGTAAAGTGACTGGTGAATGGCAGAAATATCAGATGGATATGTAATATTGCAGTAATACTAATAACAGGTAAAGTTACTAGTGAATTATCAGTGACACTTGTACAGACTCAGCAGTTCTTGGTAAGGGTTGAAATGTTCAAGCCCACATCAATACGTCATAATTTCTATTCATCACAATTTCTATTCACTTCTCTCGAGCAACAGGAATAAACAAGCCCCCACAGACTATCCTTCACTTCGAGTCTGTCCAGTCCAACCAGCTGTATGTGACGTGGCGTGATCCAACTGTCTTCTCTCAGCCATCTGCAGAGACGAGAGGAGTCATTCCAGGAAACAAGAGAGGGAGGCAAAGTCTAGGAAAACTAACCCACAAAGTTCACTGAAAAACAGACAGCACCGACGTAACTCTTATGCAATCTATAACCGGTGGAAAAGATTACAGTGTCGATGAAAAAAACTCCCTAAACATGCAGGTTTTCTTAAGTGGAATGCACTCTCGCCTCTCAGCAAAAAGGTTCTGGGTTCGAATCCCGGTCGGAACAGGGCCTTTCTGAGTGGTGTTTGCATATTCTCCTCGTGTCTGCTCTGGTTTCCCCTACCACTAAAAATATGCACAATAGGTATGAATGTAAATGAGAGAGTGAATGGATGGTGTTAATTGGAGCTGATGCGCCAGTGTGTGACCTTGGTATGTAAAATGCGCTATATAAATAAACACTACTTACTTACTTATTAAGCCTTAACTCTCAACAGGCAACAGATGGTGCAACATTACTGCAGCCCAAATAAAAGAGCGGTAACAATATTTCCAACTCAGACACAATTTGTTTCCAAAATTATACTGTTTCACACTATTGTCTTGTTATAACAACTTGTGGATACAATGTGTCGTTCCCTGGGTTTTGATGTTGGATAAAGTCTAATCTTTGTGATAAGATTTTGGTAACAAGGTGTAATTTTTAAAGTTGTGTTAACAGTGTGTGCTTTTCAAATGTTCAGCGGTGTTATGCACAATTACACACAAGACAGCAGAGCATTTGTTAAACAAACGCATGCAAGATATTCAACTTGCAGAGCTGTGCATTTGCGAAATAGAAAAAATACAAAATCCCGTATACAAATATTGAAGAATACACTATATGATGCACAAAAGGAGATGAAGGAAGTTTAAAACGTATGAAATCCTACCCCTCTTAAAGTATAATATGTATATTTATATGATATTTCAATATACAATTATCTTCACTATTACAATGTATCGTTTCAGACGTTTATCACTAGAGGGATTCAGAGGTTTCTATACAAAAGTCAAAAACGTACACATAGGTTTTTTTTTTACAAAACGCTAAAAGCAACAAAAATGGTTACCAATGTTCTGTATCATCTCCTGTCCTTATTTAAAAGTCAATGTTAATTATATTTGCCACAACAACACCAGCATTCCACCATCCCATGTTAAATCACAACGCAGTGTAATTGAAGACACACATTTGCACACAGTAAGTGTGCAATCTTGTTAAAAACTGAAAATATAGTCTCTTTAGTGCAAAATATATTTATTAATATATTAAGTTTTTAAGCAGTTCTCTCCACAACTGATTTGTTATAATCTAAACATTTTGAAACAGGGACCTTTGGACAGATGGGGCAGGGGGAGTTGCACCAGAGGTTTGTGAAACTTCACTTGGATGGAGCTAAAAACAATCAAATCTTCGTGGAGGGAATATTGTTGCAACAAGGTTAAAATCTCATCTATTCCCTCAGTTCAAACTCTCCAAAATCTTTATCTGTGTTATTTTTCCTTTTGTACTATTGTCCACTAGAACAAGTTACTATTCTGTTCAAATGTCATCCTTTTATTCTTGTGTTGTAGCGATGTCAGCCACCAGTTCGCAGACTGGGTGGGGATTCACCAGAGGATCTGTGAACTGCTGGTTCCTGTTCGAGTTGAGACGCTCCAGAGTTTCACTAAGCAAGGCAGGATTGAAAAGGACATAAAAAAGGTACTGGTCTCAACAACAGCAAATTATACCATAATTGTTTGGATGTTGACGTATTGTTGAGAGAGAAAGAGAGAGAGAGAGGGAGAGATGTATAGATAAAGAGGGATAGGTGATAGAGAGAGATAGAGAGAGAGACAGAGAGAGAGCAAGAAGTAGAGCTCAAGGGAGAGAGTGAGAGAGAGAGGTAGAGAGCGAGAATAGAGGGACAGAGCAAGAAAGAGAGAGAGGGGAGAGAAAGAGAGAGCAAGAGAGGGAGGAAGAGAGAGGGAGAGAGAGAGCCTGAGAGATAGAGAGAGTAAGTAAGTATTCTTTATTTATATATTGCCTTTCACAAAGTGCTTTACAAATGTTGTGGGCATTTATCTCTCACTCCACACAGAGATGGGAGTCAAGTCGCTTTATAGGAGGAACATGCCAGAACTATTGTATATGTTTTTAGTGGTAGGGGAAACCAGAGCAGACAGGGGAGGAACATGCAAACTCCTCCGTATCTGTAGATGGAATCGAATCCAGGAGCTTCTTGCTGTAAAGTACAATTGCTAACCATAGCACTGCCGACAAAAGTTACATTCTACTCTTGATGTTATTGTAAGACATTTTATGAAAACCTTGGCGTTTGAACAGTAACTTTAGTCATAATCTTACATTGCATATACTGTACTGCATTCCACAGTGGTATGATTTTACCTCAAGACCTAAAGTTTGCTTGACTTTGTGGTTTGCTGTAATGTTTTTGCACCTGTTAGATAGATGATAGTTTTACAGCAATAAAGAGTCAGTTACTGAGTAATGAAATATAAAAACCTACCGACATTTACAGAAAGTAATGAGAGCCGTAGAAATGGAGAAGAGAGGAGTGGTGCTTGTGGCCTTTAGCTGCTCTCCAGTGCAGGGGCTGAGCTCTCACAGAGGGATATTGTTAAAAGCCTGTAATACCACTTGGCGTTGCGCTCATCAGGGCAGTCAGTAATCAGAGACCAGAAACGAACATTCATTCCAAATTTGGCATAATTTACAGTTTATTTGTATTAACTCAAAACAGGTATGCTCTAAAAATGTGAATGATCAAATAATAATATAAGAGAAGATCTCATCTTATGTTTCCACCTGCTTGACTTGGTCTTTCTCTACTATTTGAAATTGTATTTACTATTGGAGTAACTGACATTCACTTTAATGCAATGTCATAATTTACACCCAGTAAGTAGATAAATACAAACAAAACGCTCACAAATGTTGAGCAAAGTGTTAATGATTTGATCTGTGTTGTGGTGAAAAGTACAGTCTCTTCTCCTTCTCATCCTGATTTGACGTATTCTTTGCTTTTTTGTGCATTCTTTCGGGCAGAGGGAGCTGATTGCCATCTCCAGGGCCGTAGCGGAGGGGAAGTTGGCCGAGGGGAAGCCAGAGGAGGCCCTCCCTGCGGGGCAGACTTTTCTCAGGTTTAGTGTGGATGTCTTCGGCTCCTGTTCCATGGAGCTGATCCCTGCTCACCTGCTGCTGGCAGAGGCCCACATTGGTGAGGAACACACACACACACACACACTCACACATATATACAACCTCCACTCCCTCACCCTCTGGACAAATCCATGTAAACAAGACCCACTGACAGAGTTGAATGGAGCCTGAGGGGCTTCCAATGAATGGCAAACAAAAGTTTTATTTGCCAAGCCGAGAATCATTTTTTTGTAGGAAAAAGTGAAAAACATCAGAGAGGCTTATAAAATATTGAGAGAGGGATTTGCTCCCACTGACCGACGGGCTGTAGATCCAGGACTCAGGCTGTAGAACTGCGACTGTGGCTGTGCGGTGCAGGACTGACGAGGTTCCCAGCCAGGGAGGGGGATGCAGCATGCTCATGACTTAGTACCAGGGGAGACCAGATCACATGAACCCTCTTTTTACTTTAGTGAAGGATAAGATAAGATAAACTTTATTGATCTCACAATGGAGAAATTTACATGTCACATTTGGCATTGATAGGTAACAGCACAGGTACTCAACATGCTTTCAGGGACGGTTCTTGCATGTGAACTGGATTAAACTGAATACACAGGTCATCAACCGAATGAAGGTCCTTATCCCATTTTGCGCTTTTAAAAGTTCCAATTTGCGCTTTTTCTCTGGTTTAAACATCATTACAGCTCTATTTGGCCTTCATAAAAACGTTTTTTCATTGATTCCCTTAAGCTTTAGTTAGAGAGTGATCGTTCTGTTTCATTCTTCATAGGCTAAGTGTTAGCATCAAGGTCAGCTTGAAGAAAATGTGTTTTTGGGTGTAAATATGTGAGTGTAGCTGGACTTTCTATTCACAGGATCTGCCTTGGAAATCCACAACAAATCTGGGTTCCAGTGAGCTTGGTGAAAGCTAAATAGTTCTGTGTTTACAAAGTCAGCGTGAGGCTACGTCTCTGCGCGGGCCGGTGAAGGCAGGCCCCCAGCGAAAGAGCACAGATCCATGCATTTCAATAGAGGTGACATCAGCTCTATGCAAGAAATGGCTATAATTTTGAAGTTTAAGTTTTGAGTGTTGTATGGTGTATCACCCATAACATAACATGTGCATAACATGGACTGTGAAATAATAAGAAAAGCAAAATACAGGACCTTTAATGTATAACTTCCAATCCTCCACAGTCCAAGGTCTTTCTCTACCGTGGTTTTTCCTCAATAATGCACAGTATCAATAGGAACAGTTTTGTCTCAATCTTTTTTTCAATTTGATTTAACATTTTTAGTATATGTTATGTAAAGAACAAGAAAGTATATCAGATTGAACAACAACAATCTTGTTTTTTCAAGTGAATTCAATTGGAAAAAAGGTTCAACACGATATTTGATAAATACTAACTTATCTTTATTTATCTTATCAATCAATCAAGTTTATTTATAAAAATCTATTATAACAGTGCGACCCAAAGTGCATTGCTTTATGAAACATAAAGTTAAAAAAAAAACAGGTCCAATTTACTCAACATTTGTTGGATTTGAAGTTGCAGGGTAAGAATTCAAGCAGACTTTTTGTTTTTGTTGAAGAGCTTTGTACTGTACTGGTTTGAAATAAATAGTCATGGCAAGGTAAGGCAAGTTTATGGCTAGTCCTTGTGCTCCTCAGGCCAGTCCCTCAGCTTCTCAGAGTCCGAGTTCAAAATGAATTAACAAAGAAACAAACAAGAATTGTAAAGTACATTAATGGCTGTGTGCGTTTGCGTCTGCAGGATTAGGGAAAATGTCTGCAGCCTGTGAACTGTTGGCGGAGGCACAGATGTCGGTCCACAAGAGTCCGGACTGTGGCCATGAGCTGAACCAGAGCCTGCACCGCTGTCTGGGCCGACTGCACAACGCCATGGGAAACCTGGAGGACGCTTGCTTCCACTTCGCCACCGATGTAAGATCCTCACAGACTCAGTGTTCAATGTAAACGGTTCATTATGTCTTCTTTATGTTTAGGCTTAGGGTTCATTTTAATAAGACAAAAGTGTAAAGAAGCTAGTACTGCTCAATTACCTTATATGTTTCATCGGAAAACTTCAACCTTCAACCAGATAACCAGAATTATAACCAGAATTATCTGACCACTACAAAAGAAAAAATCACATCATGGACTGGGACATTTCAAATAATAGAACAGAAGAACATAGATATAAAAAAGCCGAGAGAAAAATAAAATCAGGAAGCAGGGCGCACCATCAACAGAGGGGGGGGTGACACGTCACACCATGTCACCTTATAAAAGCAGAAGTCTACCACTATCTCAGCCTGTTCTTTGAATATGTTTTTTCAATTTTAAAGTTTCCTATTTCTTCCCAAATCCAGTGAAAATCCTGGACTGTACAAAATATTTTGTATTTATATTCCTATGTTTTGTTTGTTCTATTGTTACGGCCCTGCTCTGCTAGGGTGAAGGAGGTGACAAAAACAAGATTTAAAACGGTAAAAGTAAGTCAGTTTATAACAGGAATGGAACTGGAAGGACTTTCAGGAAGTGGGAAGGACCAGTGGCAATCCAATCACAGGCCAGGGCTCCAGTCACAGGGCGGAAATGTAGCTTTCATGCGATCTCGGAAACTCTGAGATAGCTACGTAATCTTCCGACTTCTCAAAATCCGAGCGTTCATATATTGCTGGTGACGGACTTACACACACACACACATTGACACGCACATACAAACTCACACACACACACACACACACGCGCACACAGGTTGCAGAACTATGCAGAAATGAGTCTGGTGTCTCTTCGCACATTCATAATAAAAACACACCTCACTGCCGTGATTTAAGAAATACAGGAGCAAATATGTTTTTTCATTTTTTGTGACCCTGAATTCACAAATAGTGATTCTAATAGATTTTTGGGTTTTAATTGCCAAGTTAAATAATTTCTATGATAGTTGACAGTTTGTCTCTGTTTTTTCATCCAATTACAATCTGACACATGTCACAGTGATGCAAACTCTGCAACTCAGGGACCATTTAGCATTGAGTTTAATTTCCGAGTGTTTATCCTCAAGTTTAGAGTTTTAATTTTACAGTTTCCGAGATCCCATACACACACACAGAGAAACACACTGAATAAACATTGCTAGACAAAACTAAAGCCATAACATCCATCACCAAGTTTAATTCTAAAGTTTATACGCTCTATTATTACGATGATGTTCAAAATGTAATTTTGTAACAATGACAGTAAATTATTTAATCTTGAATCTATCTTTTTTTCTCAAATTTCAAGCGTTTAAAGCCTTGAATGTGGCTTAATCAAATGCATTAGACTTTCAATCATAAAATGAAAAGCGCTTTGTGTTACCCTGTGTATGAAAAGCGCTCTACAAATAAAGATTGATTGATTGATAAAAGGCCCTCATAATCTACCGTTTCTCTCCAAAAAACCACTATAATATACATTTCTTTCTCATTAGATTTACCATGCTGCTGAGGCCTACGGTCTGGAAAGCACAGTCTGCAAGAACGGATACTTCCTCTTGGCTCAAGTATTTGTCAAAAAGGGGAAGACACCAATCGTCCAGTCTATGTATTATGAGGTAAAGACAAGAATAAATATGTTGTGTATTGTTTATTTTTACAGTAATAACAGCTAGATCTATGTCACATTCTATCTAAAACTGTACTTGTTATTGATGCTCCCTTTTCTCTTTCCATCTGCAGGTGGCTCAAACCTGGCACACTCACCTGACCGAGCTCATGAAACCCTTTTTGGAGAATCCGGCTGGGTCTCTGGTGCCCACGTTTGATAATTCTTCATTAAAACCTGGCGTAGGAGGTGAGGTGACAGCTCTAAAGTATGTGCCAATGTCTTATTTAGAGGCACATTGAGCTCATGTGTAACTATTTACATGTAGGGTCGGAAAAAGGCGTGCCGTTCATTAGACTTGTGCTGGGAGCTAGGACTGCACACAGCTTTTATCAAACTATTATTACTCTTGAAACCTGTGGTCTTTCCCTAAATAATGAGGGGTTTATTAACTTTAGCCTTAATTAGCTAAATTCTATCTATCTATCATTCTTCTGTCTATCTCTCTATGATTGGGCACAGGGGTTAGCGCTTGTGCCTCAAAGCAAGAAGGTCCTGGATTACACCTCAAGGTCTCTCTGTGGAGTTTTGCATGTTCTATCCATGTCCGTTTAGGTTTCCTCCAGGTGCTCTGGTTTCCCCCTACCACTAAAAACATGTCCAACAGATCTATCTATCTATCTATCTGTGTGTTTGTCTTCCTGTCAGACAGACAGAAAGCAGAAAGATTAAAATCCAAGCAGCAACACTGAAATCATATGACATTGATAATTAGAATTATGGAGAAAATAACACACACACACACACATATATATATATATATATATATACAGTATATATATATATACTGTATATACATGAAATAAAAAACAATTTTAAGAATGAGTGCCACAGTCCATCGTTAAATATTAAACTTAAAATTTTCATTGATGTGACCATAAATATATGAAATTGTAATTGTAACATGTGTATTCAATTCAATTCAACTTTATCTCAGACCAATTTTTTTTATCAAGTCCAATTAAACGCAAGACAATCATTAACAAACAAACAATCATGAAAAGACAGTTTAAAACACTGTGTGGCCACATCTTGGACTGAATGGTCATGTCCACAATTTAAATAAATAGATAAATCACATTGCATTAACCAAATATTTTAGTCAACAAAACTTATTACCTAATACTTTGCTTTGAAAGTTCCACGAAAACCTAACAGCTTAAGTAATTATGTAAAAAGCGTTTATTATGTATAATCTATCTGAGCCCTCATCCCATTACACACTGACCGCCTCCTAAAGTGTAAACACTGAGGTCCAGGGGATGAAAAATAAGGTCAGTGTCTATTTTTAGTGGTGGTTGTTGCAGTGTGATCCAAAGGCTAAAGCTCAGAATTAAAATCAGACGAGCTGAGTCTGTCTCCGGCTCCATCACTGTCTCTGCCAGTTCTTAGTCCGAGTGAGAGACACGAGTGCCCTGTGGCCTCATGGGAAAATCAGCCAAGAGAATCATGACACAGTACAGTCTTAGACTATTGTATGTGTCCTGGCTGGTCATCAAACACCAGTGAGAATATACAGTCCAGACAATGATGACTTCAGACAAGTGAAAAGAAGAGCACTGTCAAACTCTCCGCTACCAGAGCAGAGAGAGAGACCAGAGAGAGCGGAGAAAGAGAGCAGGGAGAGCGACCAGTGAGAGCAGAGCGAGAGACAGAGACCAGAGAGAGAGAGAGAGAGAGAACAGAGAGGGACCAGTGAGAGCAGAGAGAGTGAGACCAGAGAGAGCTGAGATAAATCAGAGAGAGAGAGAGCAGAGAGAGAGTGAGACAGCATAGAGAGAGAGAGAGACTGGAGAGAGCAGAGAGACCAGCGAAGGCAGAGAGAGAGAGACCAGAGAAAGGCCAGAGAGAGAGAGAGAGAGAGAGAGAGAGAGAGAGAGAGACTGGAGAGAGCAGAGAGAGCCCAGCAAAGGCAGAGAGAGAAAGGCCACAGAGAGAGACAGAGACAGAGAGAGAGAGAGAGAGAGAGAGACCACTTTTAGACATTTTTATGAGACTTTTGACTCTTTCCATAGTTACCTGGATCAATCTTCAGCTTCCCCCCTCCACAATGTCAAACAATTTGCTCTTTATGAAGTGAAAATACATAAACCTGATAATATTTTTGACATGGCATTGGTACATTGATTGTGCAGACTTGACTTCTGAGCTTCAACAATAGGGCAATAAACTAAGTTTTTTTGCTTAATAAAAGGCCCTTGGTCCTTCTTTGAGTAGATGAGTTCAATTATCTCAGACCTTGTTCACATTGACGATGTCATGTAATTAATGATTTAATGATGACAATGAAAAAATGAAAAACATACTCAAAAATCCAAACAAAAGACAGAAACCAGGAAAACAGAAAATAACAATAACAATGGATCAGCAGCAAGTGTGGAGGAGCACAGGTGAACAGGAGAAGTCAAACTGAACTAAAACCACAGGGAAAAAAGTCAAAAAATAACAAAGTCAAATCCAAGCCATGGCGCGCAGTTTTAATAGTTTAGTCATGAACGCGTTGCTCTTTTCTCTCTCCTTTCCTCAGACAAAGCCAAGCTAATCGAAGCCGACAAGATGCTCCAGACGGTTTTGGACTTTGAGCGGAAGCAGAGCAGAAAGCACAGAGGCCTGACGGCGCTGGCCTCTCACTGCCTGGCCCTGCTCTGGTTTATGATAGGTGATCGTGTCAAGGTAAAGTCGCGTGACCCGGGACTTAGCGTTTGACATACTGACACAATTCTCAGTGCCGTCGGGCGCTGGGATTAGCTCTGATTAGCCAAAGCTGTAAAGATGTTGTCAAGTTTAGTGCCAATAGCTGCAGGCTTGTAGCCTGACTCTCGCCAGACCCATGTAGTTCGCTGCACTTCACACATGAGTCTGGTACTGAGCCATAGTGGTTGGATTTCAGAAGGCAGGGCCCTGTAAAAAAAATCCTTGTATGTGATTGGATAGACCACTTGTCCGTTATCTTGAATGAAGTCTGCTTTCAACCACTCACATCGAAGCACACGGCTCCCATAGGTTGCCAAATCCCAGCAAAATTTTCCAACCCAAATTCCGCGAGAATACCCAAAAAAAAAAAAGAACACTCAGTATGATTTTTTGGCTAAAAACGTAATATAATCAACTTGGGTTATCATGGTTCTGTTTATTGTCTTACTGTTTATTTAATACCTACAAGTCTCTTGGAAAAAATATGCGGGAACCACCAAACCTGGCAACCCTGCTGCATAGTGTGTAAACAGGGACACTGAACCAGTGCTTCAACCAAACTTTACAGGAACATTTGACTCTTAAAACACACATATATCAACATAGAACCATCTACATCTCCCCTCAAGTTGCATTAAAAGTGACATCCGTGTCTTAATTTGATCGTATTTACTCTTTTAAAAAGATTCGCCATCTTGGATTCCCGTTCGTTGCTGCATGAGAGAAGCTTGAGGAGGCAGTGCAAACCCCACGTAACACCGGCAATCCTGATTGGTCGATTAAAAAATAATCTGGAGAAGGCGTTCGCTATGGCATCGATACCAGACCCATGTGGTTCAGCCAAACGCCTCTGGTGGAGCATGACGGAACTACCAGTGTAGTCAAGCATCCACTGTGACTGTGGATGCTTGACCACAACTTGTATGCGTTTGTAGAGTGAAGATACTGTTTTTCAAGATGATAGAATGAGTTACTCTGGGGTTCGGACTGAAATTTTAAAACTGAAATGTTGTTTTTTTATTCTGAACTTGCACAAGATTTACAAGCATTTACAAGCATATATTTACAAGAAAAATAATTATAAGAATAAAAAAAACAAGAAAACCTGTGGTAGTTTGAATAGGAATTGGTCAAAGTAAGTAATCTTTATTTACATGTATATAGCGCATTTTTAAGGCAACAAGATATTTATCCCTCCCAGCCAATACAATACAAAAACAATACAATACCCTACAATACCCTCTAAAAAAAACCCATCACAGTGCTAACCAGGCCCTGTCCTACTTAGCTTCAAAGGTGCATGAGATCTCGTTTTTTCCCTTATGTTTGTGATTTCAATTACTCACAATTACAAAAACTATGCTGTTGTTGTAAATACTGTTGGCGGTTTAATATTTATTAAAAAACATTTGATTGTGCATATTGGCATACACACACGCACGCACGCACACACACACACACACACACACACACGCAAGCAGCATAAGAGAAATACAAAATCGTCATAACATTTCCTATAATTACTATGGTACAAGCACTAAGTACAAGTTTTACCTTCAAAAATTTCACTTTTCTCATCCTTTGTCACTAAATCTTACCAATATATCTAACGTATTTTAGTACAGGTAACTTTTATGAAAAAATTGTTGGAATTAAACCGTTTCTACCACATTACTCAATAACCCCCAGTCTACACTCATGACGCAAGCTGAGAGTGTAATTATACCAGCAGCAGCGCTCACACATGTTACTTCCGCTCCTGTCTCTCCCTTGTGTTGGATAAACAGGGGTTTGGGCAGCTCGGATTAGCTGACCTGTTCAACCTCATTTTTCATCGCTCTTATATACCGCCGCTTTATTGTCTAACAGCTGTTGCACTTACACAGGCGAAAGGCTTTGGACACTTCTCCCTCGAGTCCAGCAAGACCAGTCCAGACCAGGAGCTGAGGCCGGCGCTGGAGAGGCTGCTGCAGCTTCTGGAGGAGGGTCCAGACACAGCAAGTAGTGGATTGTAGTGAGATACAATAAGTTAGGAAAAGATACTCCTTCATTGTGTTGATTAGACGCCTGGAATATGAGAAAATAAGAAAAAACTGCTTAAATTGAATGAATAAACGTTTGATACCGCACCATTACTATACATATACATGGTAATTTTGTATTTTTTTTGTACGTTTTTATAATGATAATAATAATAATAATAATAATGCCCTGGATTTATATCGCGCTTTTTTGGACACCCTAGACGCTTCACTCATTCACTCCATACACTACTACTATAGCCACAGCTACCCTGGGGCATACTGACAGAAGTGAGGGAACCAGTATGTGCTATCAGCCCCTCCCACCACCATCAACCACTCACACACACACCAGACTCGTTGTAATGTGGGTGAAGTGTCTTGCCTATAGGACACAGTGACAGTTTGGCACTTAACAGCCGCAGCCACCCCACCTGGTGTTCTCAGAGGTCTCCCATCACAGTACTAACCAGGTCCTGTCCTGCTTAGAATCAGATGTCTGATGGGATCTGGCTTTCACATGCAGGTATGGCCACATTTAATTATGTAGACATAATTACCGGTTGATGAGATTATTAATTTCACTTGATTTTTTTTTTCCACCAAATGTTTATTTTTCAATTTTCTCACAAAAATTCACTTAATTGATGTAAAACTACTGTTTATATTTACCAGGACTTCTGTCGCACATACAAGGGAAATTCATGTGGATGGAACTTGCCCCAACTCGCTCTGGCTCCTATGGACTTACATGGATTATTGGTTTAACACTTTCTGTGATCCTGGTGTTTCTATTATGACGTTGTCTTTGTAAATCCAGATATGAGCCATATAAGGATTGACCAATCAGACTTTACTTTGTATCTGACCCTGTCATATGGTCCCGGCACAAAGCTAACACCGTTGGAACAAATACCATATAAGGAAATTGGCTCCAGCAAGCTTATGTTCAAATCGGCTTCTTCCACATTCAGGCAAAACACTACAAGTGATGTCAAACTCTTAATATATGTTATGGCTTCACAAAGAAAAGGCGTAACTGTGTATAATTACTATTTTATACTTAATTGTGGCCTCTTTATTATGCTAAAGTTAAAGATATTATCAATCCCTTATGGTGATTTTTGTATTTACTATTTTTATTTCTTTATTCCTTTGACAGGGACATTGCAAAATCAATGTATTGTGGAGACCGGACACAGCTACAAGCTAATTTTGCTCTCCTGTCTGTTCCTGTTTGTGAGTTGGGTTCTCCTTTTACCCACTTTGAATTTGTGGTGTAAGTTCATTTTTGTTTCGTCTGGACTTGTCATTTTTGAGTGAGGTTAAATTAGATGCATAGCAGCTGATAATTCTCACTGTCCCAGGTGTAGCACATACTCTTCTATCTTCCTCAATCTCAAACTTGACTCCGACTGCCCTGAGGCTGTCTAGATCTGGCACCAGCTGCGGCCTCATTCAACCTCATTATTTATATATATTTTTATTATACATACAATTCATCTGTTTAGACAAGGCTACTCACTAACATAACCACACAATCCTCTGTTCATGCTACTTTTAACTGTATTTCAGACAACAGGAAGGGATGCATGATTTTTAAGGGATACCAAAGATAAGGTTTGTGTGGAGCATGTGCAACTGTATTAATATGTAGAATAACAAAAGGACAAATAATGTCATAATACTGAATAAATAATTCAATTAGTTTGAACTTATAGGTAGATAAGGATAGTAATAGACAAAGGATGAATTGCAATTTTAACTTTAATATTCTAACTAAATATACTTTTTGCTTGTGGTGTAAGACAACCTTGAGTATCAAGAAAGGCGCCTAAAAAATAGAATGTATTTTATATATATATTATTTATTTATATATTTAAATATGTATATATTTGTGACTGAGAGACGGTCCTCCACATATACCTCAAAGACGACTTGACACATTATAACTGGTTTGAAATAATGACATATTTTATTTGAATCTAAAAAAAGAGGGGTATAGTTTCATATTTACACCGGTTTGCACACTAGAATTACAAATTTCAGAATGCATTTGTTAACACTGTAAAACAAAGTCAGGGATTTTTTGTGAGTTTGTCCTCCGTACCTTTAGAACAGCCCAGATCGTCTCTTCCCACAATCTTTCCATTAAAGGTCACCTATTTTGTCGTATGAATAAGGCAGTTTCTCCCAATGTCATCTTGTCTATCCAATGACAACAGTGAATATTATTGAGACTTCAAACCACGTTTGGACCAGATTTGAACACTCATCCAGAAATCATCATATCACTATTAAGGTCAACAGTAAGGTACCTAAATGCTGTTGTACTTGGACCTACTCTACTCTACTCTACCTCGATAGGGAGCATTTCCACTGGCCCTGGTACCACTTTAGTACCTACCAGGTCCTGCTTCTATCCAGGGCAAGCTGGTACTAAAGTGTTCTAACTGACAGAGATTGGCCAGAATGCTGCTGCTGGAATAAATACTAAGGATTTTTCTTCCTCGCATACTGGTTTGTTTTGGGTAGGTTGCTAGGATATGGTACCAGATACTAAAATAATAGAGTAGAGTAGAAAATGGGACTTTAGTGTCTCAATGGTCTGAGATCTAAGTTAAGCTGAGTTTCCAAAAGGGGAAGAGTTAACTTTGAACTTGTTCTTTCTAGTCTTTGTACATTGTTTTTTATAGACTTTTAAATCCATCAACATTTATTTGTACATCACAATATGTGGAGCTTAAAAGCTCTCATGGTAAAGCACATTGGATTACATGTACTTATAATGGACGATTACATACTAAATGATACGGTCCATTTAGTATGACCGCAACGACACATTACGAGGGTCAGGGAGTGTCGAGTATCTAGCCTATTCAAAACAATAGACTGATATAACAGGTGCCACAGGACCAGAAATGGGTTATAAGAGATTAAAAGGACTAGAAAGAAGTTTTTCAAAGTTATTTCAAATATCTCAGACCAGAGAAATATAGTCTTTATGGTGAAAATCTGATCCAGACGCTTTTGAAATTCTTGGTATTTCACCCAATTATACCGTGAGATGACTCAGTTTGACAAATAGGTGACCTTGAATTCCACATTGAAAACAACATATAAACACCCTTTCACCACATTTCTTTAGCCGTACTTTCAACACAAGTCCCACATCACGTCATTTCTGTACAACCTCATACACAACCTTCAAAATAAAGCGTCTAACTACAAGAATTATTTATTTATTAGTAAGGAATTTTTACAACAAAACATATGATTTTGGCATTGTCTCGGTCAACAGGCAGTGTTTGGATTCGGCTTCCCTTTTTCAATGATAGTAGTAGCCCAATATGTTACAATAGCAGCTTTGAGGAAGTATAGTAGTGATAATGCACTCCAATCAATTTGTTTTAGGCAGTAAAACAGATACATCGGTTAGTTCCATATTTTGTAAATGCAATTCTGGTTTTTTGATTGCAAGCACATAGGGATGGGATGGTAAGCAACTTCTACAACACTAGAGTTTCATGTTTAAATCATGCTAACAAAACCTTTTTTATGGCTTTAATATGTCTTACCAATATTAACAGCTTGAAATATTAGATAACCCAGCTTTAATGAATCCTGCTGGTTAATCTACAGCTGCTAATAATAATATTGGCAAAAATGGACGAATTCAATGAAAAAAACGTCGCCAAGAAATAATTGATTGATGAGATGGACATGAGAGCTCGGGGCCAATACCTCTAAGTGATCATGTTAGTGGGCAGATAGATATATAATGGATCCAAAATGGGAAATTCATGGCGTATCGCTTTTCTTTTGCCTGAATCAAAATACAAAAGATTTCTGTAGACATTGTGGCGTTTAAAAAAAAATAATATCATAGTATAATTTAATACCATTTATCATCCCACCTCTATCAATACAAATCACTCCAGTCTGTCCCCAAATACAAAATACAGAACCAAACTTAATTTGACCTGAATCAAATAGAACAACCGCCAAAAAAAAAAAAAAAAAGGAACATTCACTCATTTCTATGGCTGGCTTTTTAATATCGGACTAATATGTACACAGTGGGTTTGGTTACAGAAGGGAGTAACGTCTGAGGAAAACAAACAACTTGGAAAATTTTAGATTTTTGTTCAAAGATTTGAGGTTTTCACAGTTTGTTTTTGTCTAATACGGTGTCAATATTATTATTTACACTGGACATTGTCACAGTAGTGTCGAAAGTAGTGTTGGAAAGTGGAACTAAAGTGAACGCTGGGATTTAAGCAAAAATAATGTGGATTTTAGATTTTAGTCTCAGACGTCTTTATGACTTTGCTTTTGCTGATAAAATAGCTTCCCAATGTTAGCCGTACTCCAGCCCAATACATTTCCTTTTAAAACCGGATAGATACACAAATCTTTTGAAGTTGCGCATAATCAATGTATTTTGTTGTGTTTTTATGTGTAACTTTTATTCCAGGGCTCACTACTCGAATGTTTCCAAAAAGATGCTCATTCTTTGCTTGGAATGTACCTTAGTATGACACAAAAACTATTGAATTATAAATGTTTTCGCTGTTCATTAAAGCTCTATTGAAGTGGGAATGTGGAGCCAAATGTTTGCTAATTTTGTTGGTAGCAATCGAATTGTTACCAGGAGCCAATCAGGAGAAGCCGCAGTATGTTCAAAGTTCCGCTACTCGCTGCTAAAGCCAAATTTGATGATAAAAAGTCTGATTAGTCTGATTAGTTAGCTTTTTAGTCATAGGAACCAGAATAAATCTTCCTCTGTTAGAATTTCCCTATAGTGCTTTATTGAGCTAGCGGGTTAGCATTGTCCATCTATAAACACTCTACGCTTGTAACTTGTTGACGTAAAGTTTAAAGCCATACTAAGGGACATTCCAGGCAAAACAATAACATTTAGCCTTTCACAGTAGCTCCACTTTTACTGTCTATTAGTGCACACAAATCACGTGTTTTCTTGCTTTTTAAAAAATACCATAAGTTAGAACGGAACGAGGAACAATATTAATACAAGCAAAAGGAAAATAGTGAGTTTTTAAGCTTGGTGCACACTCAACATCGTCATATACAGCAGTTTTTCCTTCATCCTGTTTTCATTTGTCAATATGGCGTCTGCATTCAAGGAGAGACTTGTTAAAAAAGAGCTAGTAATATGAATGTAAATCCCATGACATTACAAGTGCAAATGGCAATGTAAGCTATTGGAAATATAGATGATTTAGGTCATTTTTAGCATCTTTCCCACCCACGGATCACTAGAATGCAGCTTGTGTCTGTATATTGTGTCTATGAGAATATTTCTTAGGGTGGAGGAAAAATAGGGAGTAGGTTTTGGCTTGAGATCCAGGCTGCTTCCCTGAGTTTAAGTAACTCAACAACAACAAAAACCCAGTAACAATAGTAGTAGCTGTACATTTGTGCTTTTAAAATTTGGCATTTCAACACAGATGTGGCTCTCTACTAAGAACTAGTATCCATACCTATTGAAAACCCTGGATATTTTTGAAAAATATATGTAACATGTCTTGTAATTGTCCTCCAACTTGTACTATGGTTAAAGATGTTGAGATTTCTTAAAAAGAAGAAAAAGTAAAAGTATTAAACGAGAAATCTTCGTCTGTTACAGTTAGCACCGATTTCAACTTCTGTTAGGTATTAGTTCTGTACAATTGATAGCTTTTAAAAAAAATCCAAGTTGCCAGTTTTAACACTAAACCTGGACAAACCTATAGAAATACGTACAAAACGTGTGTGTGTTGAAAACTTGCTCAAAACAAATGGACAAAATGTGGATATGTTTGTGAAGATCTGGTTGAGGTAGCCTTTCAGACCTCTGCTTTTTGTACAAAAAACATCGCCCCCCGGCCTTAGAAAAACACAAAGTTATGTTTATAAAGTGCAAGATTTAAAGACGGCTGGTACGGCTGAAAAAAGGTTTGGCATAGGGCTGGCCAATAACTGTCTATGGACGATAATGGAGAGAGAGTCTGTTCAAAGGGAATTCCCCATAGTGTTTAAGTTTAATGTGCTGGAACATTCTCTATTGGCTCTTTGAACGTTTGTCTCAATCCTACTTAGCCCTACTCTGTGCCACAGCGGTTAGAGATATGACCTTTCGGATCTTCCCCTCTCTGTCTCTCTCTTTCTGTGTCTCTGTATCTCTCCCTCTGTGTATGCGTGTGTGTGTCTCTCTCTCTGTGTCTCTCCATTTTTCTCTCTGGTCTCTCTCTTTTTGGTATCTCTATATATAGATGTACCTGCTTGCCCTGGCTAGAAACAGTAAAGTACAAAAAAAGTCCACGGTATCAGTTACTGGGTACAGAAACAAGGCTGTAATTAATCTTACAACAAAAGGTCCTTCAACTGACAGCACTTTTGTCTTTAGGTTGAGAGAATACGACCAGTCTCTGACACGTCTGCAAAAAGAGAGCTTCCCTTTTGTTGGACTTTGATAGTTTTTGTTATCATTGAGCCCCAGTAACACCACATTATTGCTCTAAACACCCGTAGCCTGGTTGTTTTCTTCCTAAACTCAGTCTAAAATTCCCATCTCTCCCCGTGTTTTGTAAAAACTAATCTATCCACAGATTGTATTGGCCAGCCCTCAGCCAAAACACAGTTGTAATGATTTTATCTCAAGTTCTGGACTTTCCTGTAACACTCTTATTGTAAACATTGGTGACATTTCATATATGCAGCTGCTGCCGTTTGTCAAGTTTGTAAGCGAGTTGATAAGTTATGATTTCAAATGTGTATTCACATGGATCTTGGATAGCTTTTTGTCAAGCTTGGTCCACCCTTACACGTATAATAAATGAGAGAGGAGTAGCATTTTATTTTTTGATAGGACAAACCCAATTGGCAGTCGCAAAGTTAGTGGTCTGTTATGGTAAATCTAACCACCATCATACATAGCTTCTGCCTTTTGAAATTTAGACAACGGTAGCAGTGGAAGGGACAAAAGCCAACCACGTATGAATAATAAATAGCATCCTTGACTTTGACCGCGCTCTATGCTTATCCAAAGTGTAATTTATTGCTACATCTATCGGTTATAACCAACACAAAATCATTAAAAACATATTAAAACGTTTTATATTTTTGGAAAATGCCCTCTATTGCGGTAAACAAGCCCATGTTTTGGAGGGAAGAGGTGCAATCAGAGGGAGGGTCAGGGGAGCAGCCTTCAGATCTGTTTGTTTTTTCAAAAGGGTGACGTCACAAGAAGATTTTAGACAAGTTAAACTTGATATGTCTCTAAAAGGAATGTCTGACATGTACTTTGTGTGTGAGCTTTCAGGGACAGAGGTGTTTGGCCATAGAGCTACTTTAGTTCAGAGGAGCAGACAAGAACCAAGAGCGGAGGAGCAGAGACGAGATTCAGAATAACAACTACTTACTGTGTCTTCCAACTTCTGACTTTTAAAAGATAAATATTGTTTTATTGTGTCATTTGACCAGTGGCTCAAATATATCAACATATATTGTGACAGGCCCAGTTCCATTTCAACTTGTGGGGGAAATTGTTTAAGCTGATTGAGTCTTTTAATTCATGTCATAAGACCAGCAGCTTATATGAATCTAAAAAGTCATATAGTTGTAAATGTTACTCATACAAAGTTGATCTGTGGACATGCAGGATAAAAAAAGTTTTAAAAACATGACTTAAAATGATGTGGAGTATCAGCAGATATTGAGTTATAGAGATCAGAGCTAAAATGGCGCGATCTAAAACGAGTTCTCAAACACTTCTCCACAGAGAAAAATCTAAAAAAGTTTTAATGATCTGTTTTTGGGTCTTAGAAGCAAACTGAAATTTTCCATAGCAAGACACTGATTACTCGCAGCAGTTAGCATTCAGTTTTCTATATTACAGTCTAACCAGTTTTTGCATACAAAAATGTATCCATTAATTTGAATGGGAGCTGGGTATTAGCAGCCACAGTAGAAGTGCTCATCTCCTGTCTGCTCCTGATGCCCTGGTCATCTGCTCCTGAGCTGAGGTTCTAAACATGTACATCTCGCCCTGTGTAACCAAACCACCTCTTTCCCTTCTGAGATATTTCATCATGAACTTGAAGGTTACTTTGTTTCCTCTTGGTTTCTCTACTCAGTCAATAGCTGTATCTCGTTGGCCAGGAGCGTGTTGATGTTATAGGCCGAGTCGGGGTCGACGGGCGGCAGCGGCGACGACTGGGCGGGCTCTGCGGACTCGGGGTCGCTCTCACTAGAGGTGGAGCCCACGCTCATGTTGCACACGGCCTCCGGGAGAGACCCCTGAGGCACGGAGCACACCTCAGGCTCGCTGCTTGTCTCGCTGGTGCTGGAGACCACGGACAGCAGGGACATCTTCCGCGTGAGCCGGTTGGGGAGCATGGAGAGGGCGAAGTCGGCCACGGTGCCCGCCACGTCCATGCCGCAGGCCTGGTCGAAGGCGATGAAGCCCACGTTGGCATTGGCCTCGCAGACCAAAAAGGAGCCGTCGTTGAGCTGCAGGAGGTCGATGCCGCACACGTCCATGCCCAGGATGTTGGACACCTCGATGGCCAGCTGCTTCCCCTGCTCACTGAGAGGGCACATCATCCCCACCCCACCTGGGACGCAAGAGAGACATCAGAGAGAGGGTTAGTCTGGTCTGTACATGACACCATTTTACAGCCTCAGTCCTGCGTTTTGGACCTGGATCTACAATCCTGGATCTACAGTCCTGGGAGATTTGTTGCTGGTCCATTGTCTAGATTTTGGGGATGTTTTAGTTTGTTTCGTTACCTTGGACTTAACCTTTCCTTGTTTTTCACCAAGTTTCACTTTTTTACTGTTCCGTAAAAGAATGAATAACAGCGGATAGGAGGTTTTTAGCAATTATGTAGCAAGTATGACAGAGTACTCACTAATCACTAATTCAATACAAAAAACTGTAGTGTAAACAACATTTGATCAGAAACATTCTTGATAGTGTTTTGACACAGTTCAGGAGCAGATTTCAGGGTAATTTAGGGATCTTTGTCTGAGAAGAGAGGAAGAGAAGACAGAGAGAGGAGGAGGAGAGAGAGAGAGGAGAGAGAGAGGAGGAAGAGGAGACAGAGAGAGGAGGAGACAGAGAGGAATTACAATTGATCCGTTCCACTTGCGTTTTATCATCGACCAGTTGCTTGCTTTCACTTCCACATGATGTGTTACATAAATGCAGAATAATCCAGTGTCCGTGGCCTAAATCTGTCAGATTGAGTTACAGCTGGAATTACAAAATACAAACTGCCTCAGCATGGTCCCCGTGAACTGGGTCGCCGTGGCAGCAGTGGACACATCCGCTGATCTGGCAACGTTCATGCATTCCCCCACATGGAATCATTATTGTCCTTTTACAACAGAATGTGATAGATTTCTCATATTAGTTATACCTCAAATTTCAATGCTAATGTTTTACCCTAGGAACAGATGCTGGTGGTAAGACGCTTTGAAATTCATAAGATATTTTCTGGCTCTGAGCCGCATTCTGTTGTCTCACAGGTGACATAACGCTCCATGTCTCAGCAGATGTTAGCTAAACATACTGTAAGCCAACCAACCAACCGACCCTGGCATTCTTGAAAGACACTTTTAACCTTAACCACAGGAGGTACTGGTACTACTCTCTCTCTCTCTGTCCCTCTGTGTGTGTATATGTGTGTGTGTGTGTGTGTCTCTCTCAGTGTGTGTGTCTCTCTCCCTCTCTCTCTCTGTGTGTGTGTGTGTGTGTGTGTGTCTCTCTCTGTCTCTGTGTCTTTCTGTCTCCTGCTGATGCCCAGAGTCAGGACTAAACATGAGGAGGCAGCGTTTCAGATTTATGCAGCTAAAATCTGAAACAGTCTTCCTGAAAATGTGAGACAGGATACTACCACCCTGACCATATTCAAAACTAGGTTGAAAACATATCTGTGCACACAGCTGAGTCTATTTTTTATTTTTTTAAAGTATGTATCAATTTTAAAACCCCCATTACCACAGTTTTAAGCCCAATACGTTTTCTTTTTGATCTGTGAGAAGACTTTTAATTGCCTCATTCACAATATGTGCAATACAAATACATACAAACCTTGATAACTATATTCAGCTCTCTATCTCGCTTGGTATCTCCCTCTTTCACTCTGTCTCTCTCTCTCTCTATGTCTATCTCACTCTGTCTCTCCCTGTCTCTCTCTCTCTCTTTTTCTTTCCTAGTATCTCCCCCCTGCAGTGTGTGAGGCCTGGTCCCCGTACCCAGAGAACAGTTGCTCTGCATGCGTCCGTCGGTGGAGCAGCGCAGCATGGATCCGATGACACGTCCTCCCACCAGCACCACGCGCACGTCACGGCCGTGAGACTCTTTCACATATTCCTGGAACAGGTACGGCGTGTCGTGGCGGATCAGGTGGCACAGGTCCGTCAGGTGGTGCTTATCTCGGGCCAGGAACACTGCTTTACCTGAGGGAGAGAGACCAGGGAGGGACGTGAGGAGGTCTGAAAGAGAGCAAGAGAGCGAGAGAGAGAGCGGCCAGAGGGAGGCTAGAGAGAGACCAGAGCGAGAGAGAGAGAGGAACATGAGAAAGTCTGAAGAAGAGAGAGAGAGAGAGGAACATGAGAAAGTCTGAAGAAGAGAGAGAGAGAGAGAGGCCAGAGGGAGACTAGAGAGAGAGAGGAACGAGAGAAATCCTGAGGGAAGGACTGGTTCATTTGACCATCATTGACTTATGCCATTTGTTTTCAAGGAGACTTATTACTGTAATTTCCAGACTAGATGAGATGAGATATACTTTATTGATCTCAACTTTTTTCTACTTTGAACTCTGCGGCTCATATAGCGATACTGCTATTATATGTTTTTTTCTAAAGAAAGTGGTGATGACCCAGGCTAGGTCATTCAACAACTTTCATGGACATTGGTCATCTGCGCCTAATGGACCAATGGCTCTATGTGTTTTTTTTATCATTGCATTTTCATCTTTAGAATCAAACAACTTTTCCTCATTATTACTGCACTGTATTGGGAGATGGGGAGATTACTGCTGGTGTCGTGTGGCGCTGACAAGGCCTGTGCCTCTTTCGGCTCCCATCACGTCTGACCAGACCCTCCCTTTTTCACACATCCACTCAAAAATGTCTCTTTTCATTAACACCAGAGCAGTGAGTCCGGACTGAGGCCACGCAAGGAACACAGCGCGTAACAAAGCTCACAAACAACATGTAAACAACCACATCCTGTCTGTGTTTTTGGTGTATTTGGCTCTAAAGTAATCACTAAATGTCATGTTTTAGAAAGGGAAATAAGTGAGAAATAATAATGTGTGTGAAAATTTTGGAGAACATTTTGTGAGCAACACTCTTAGAAACAACACTAAGGGAGATTTTATACGTGCTTCTTTATTATGGGTGTGTTCACAGGAAAGTGTTAACTATAGTATCAGGACTTTAAAAGGTTATAACTCTAAACCTAAAATTACCATCATAGATTGGAAAATGATATTGACAAATATCATGATCTGGTTTAAACAACCAGATCAGACTCTGATTTGATGATTCAACTGTGACGCCAAGTTACAGAGAAAATAAATGGTCAAAGCGGCAGATGAACATGTTGCACTTCTGTCTTTTGCACAATCTGAGATTCTATCTGTGCAAAATGTGACACGGACATTTCTCCAGTGTGAGATCAATAAAGTCTATCTTATCTTATGAACTCCCACAAGATAAACATTAACACAACATCAGTAAATCACTTCAATAAAAAAGGACTATATAAAAAAAAACAATACAAATTTAAATGACCCTTGAAAAATGTGCAACGGATGTGGTATCACATTTAATTGGTTTTTACTATATGAAAGTAATCAAGTTGTCTCTACTCTGTGTGATAGAAAATCTCTTAATCAAATGTGGACATCTGAAAATATGTCCACAAACTTATCTGAAAATATGTAACAAACTTCTGCAGCTCAGACACCAAGAGCGCTAGAATTGAGCTGAGCTTTGAAATTTTACTTCCAGGTCACACTTTATGATTGGGCAAGGGGATCTGAGCGTGGTCAATCAGGAGCAAGTCAGAGGACAATGGTACCCCCCCAAGGAGGGGGAGGACATTTAAATCCCTGCTCACACCCACCGTGGAACGAAGGATCATTTAACCTTAAATATGGCTAGATTTACAGGTAGATCTGAAGCTAACATGGTGCAGTGTTTTTGAAGGAAAGCAACGTTATTTCACTGGAGAAATTCCCCAAACGGATAAACTTAAGTTTGGGTTGCGGCTAAGTCTGAGGATAGTCTATACTGTTTGAAAAAGGAGACATGTACCAAATGTTCCTGGTGTTCGCCTGGGTGGGGCTAAAAACTACTTCAGCTTTGTCTCTGAGGGAACAATGTAAAACTGTGCACTATATAAATTCAGATTATTATTACGTTTAAGTATCTGGTACTGGATCTTAGCAACAGTACAAAACATAACCACAATGCATATTGATTAATGGTTAAATCTGGTTAATAGTAAGAAGTAATAGATGCTTACCCTGGGACTACAGTTTAGCTTTGTAGCTAAAACTGACACATCAAATGTTAATCAATCCCTGTTCAAAAGATGAAGGAATATATAAAACGGTTGACTGAATAATTGTCACTTGAATTTCTTTAACTAAACATCAAGTTTGGAGAAGCAGAAGCTGAGACAAAGGGGAGCAGATGGGTCTCATAAAGTATTTATAAACTATCTAGGGCTGGTTTCTTTAAAAGTTTCATTGTCCAGGGTGATATTCAAACCTTGAATCTCCTCCCATACAGGGATTCATTTGAAAAAACTAATTATGGCTGCATTTTTTGCCACTGAGCAAAGACGAGATGGTGCGGCTGTCCTGCCCTCGGACAATATCAAGTTTCAGACGCAAAACTGTCATTAATGCTTGTTTCCACACTTGCCTTTGGTTTGACCAGAGCAGGCTGTGGGGTTTTAGATTGTAAATACACAGCATATATATATAGGTACGACTGTGGAGATTTTTCATGTTTCTGTTTATTTATTCTCTATATTTTTCAGCATCACTTGCAAATAACTTGCTTCTGTAATTGGTTCTGTCTAGTGAATTCGAAGTAGTCCCAAATTCTGGAGGCATTTATGTCTTCATCATCCGCTTGTTTTGTTTCTCTGCGAGCTCCACTCTAGCTTGTGGCAGCACTGGGTCGCAACCGTTACAGTAGATCCGTCACAGTGTGTGTACGAGAAATATATACATAAATATATCAAAATTATCACGCATCTATTAACTATGGATATTGCACATACCAATATCGCAATGATAATGTTTTTTGATATAGATAGATAGATACTTTATTGATCCCCCGTAGGAGAAATTCAGGTGTCCAGCAGCAGAGTGTCCAAAAGCGCCATATAAACCGATGCATTATTATTACAGAAGACTCATCCAGGTTTGTTGTACAGTCTGACAGCCGAAGGAAGGACCACATATATTGTGCAGATCTTTTAAATGACTTGACCATATTCTTTCCCAGCTGTTAATATCACTCTCAGACCTTGTGCTTGTCTGAATACGTCAGTCCCACAAAGAGAAAAATCATTGGGTGTAAAGTCCCTGGAGAAACGTGAGTCTAAACCCAGTCTTTGTGAACGTTTGTAACCCCAGTGTGGGTTTCCTTCCGGCCCTCCACTACTGACCCCTGTCCGCTCGCTCTGGGTCCTCCATGTGAACAATAGCACAGGGAACGTCCCACCAGTGATGCATTGTTCAAAGAGAGAAACGGTTAGGGCCACTCTAACTTGACCCGTATTCAAACGTCTGGAGGCACTGTTTACCTCCTGCTTCACACACTGAGACCCGTGATCTCTGGCTAAAGTCCAAGCCCAGACTCTCCCAGGCTCAAACAGGGGCTGGATGAACTCAAAATATGAAAGAATTGTCAGGTTTTAAACTGATAGACTAGCATTGCATGGCTAGCATAGTTTCTACAAGAGTTTGGCTGTTACGCAAAGAGATATTTTGTAAGATATCTAACCTTAGTCTTTTAAAAGTAAATAAAAAAACATTTATTTAACACTTTTTAGGAAGTATTTGGTCTTATGTAAACTTCACTTTTGTCACTAAGCTACTATTTGAGTCTTTGGGCTGAGAGCTGGTTGGCCAGCCAGGAACTAGTTGGATTGATTTTATTATTTTGGTTTGAAAGTTCAACTTAAAGCTTTAAATAACAACTATTATTGAGGGTTTAACAAGGATGCTCTCTCTGTGTATGTGAGTGTGTGCGTCTGTCTCTGTGCGTGTCTGTCTCCGTGTGGTCTGTATGTGTGCGTGTGGCTGTGTGTGCATTCTGAGACTAATACTACAATCTAAATGTGCAAAAAAAAAAACACAAAAAAATGTATGGCTCCCAAAGAATTACATTTAGCTCTAAGCTAAAAAAAAGTTCCTTACCTCTGCCTCAGTGTGGACAACTTCAAACCCTCCCACATAATAATGAACTCCTAATAGACTCATAACAGTGTAATTGAGCCCCAGCGATCCAAGATGATGCCCTTTTCAAATCAATGGCTTGGGCTCAGTAGCGCATGTGCCACCGGGGCACCGTAATATTAGCGGAACTCGCTAATATTTGGGCATTTCTCTGGTCCTCCTAATTCTAACTCTGTTAGCTCAGTCAGTGTTAGCTCAGTTACTGTTAGCTCAGTCAGTGTTAGCTCAGTCAGTGTTCTTCTCTCACCTCTGTGTCCACGAGCGTTCTTCACCACCACCGGGTATCCCAGCGGCTCCGCCTCGTCAATCATCTTACGGAAGTTATCGTGGCCTCCTGCAAAATAACAAAACAACAAAGCATTGAACATACTGATTATAAGAAACAAGCGAACATTCAAAAAAGTCCATACACTTTCATTCTTATACCTATAATAATACCTTTGCATTATACACTCATTATCCCAGGGTTAGCATTAGCATCAGCATGGGCCCCCTGTTCTAGCCACTCTCATAATTTTGTCTATGCAATGTTGTACTCAATATAAAATCTCTACCCTAAAGCTAGATAATTTATTGCTTATTTTTTATGATGAAGTTAGAGATTATATTTTATTCCTCCTCATTCCGAATGATCTGCATTCTGCAACACTGAAATTTCCCCACAATGGAAGGAATAAAGGATCTCTTAATCTGAATCTATGTAAACTTTAAACAACGTCCTGGGGAGTGGTGATGTGAAAAATACATAGAAATTGATTACCAATTTTGTCCTTTGGGAACGTTGCTTGATTGGCCCCTCTACACTTGTGTGAGATCTAATTACAATGATTCTATTGGTAGCTTGTTAGCTAGGGCATTGACACTTGAGTAGTATTTAAACAATTATATAAACAGACTTAGGTAAGTTAAATAGTCATTCTTTGGCATAGCCTTCTCGGTCATTGTTGGTAAAATTAAATATAATAGCATTTGGTCTAATGAGTTTAATCAAAATGTCACATGTTACACGTGAAACACAAATAAATATAAATTTAATAGAGTTCCTTTAATTATTGAATAATTAAATGCATTCATTATTGTCTATCAGTGCAAATCACAGGTGAATGAAAACAAAACAACAGAGACTTAGTTAGAACAACAACAAACAGCAGCCACAAAATCGCAACTGTACAAATGTCAACAACAAAACTACTTTCAACACAATCTGTTGAAACTACGTGGATTTAAAATGCCTCTCGTCTGTTGCAGATGATGCTTCAGATTAATGCAGCAAACTTGACGCTGCAAGTGCAATTGGGGATCAAGTTGATGTGAACCATGAGTTAGGCATGTGTCTCATACATCACCTAAGTACTGGATAATAAAACACAATAATGTCTGCAACGTGTCTGAGCGTCAACCACAGAACTCGCATTCCAGAACCTCAGGCTCATGTTACACAATAAGCACTGCATGTTACAAATTACTTTCTAATGTTATGGGAATGTTAGATATTTTCTAAAACGTGACAAAAGGAGTAGGAGATGACTGTGATGCGGCGACACGCTGGTCCAGTCTTATGTTAGAACATTGATTCCGCTAGCTTTAATTTTGAAGCTGAAGCTAATTGAAGACACGTCCACGTCCATTGGACTGGAGAAATTCCTGCTTTCATTGAATTCAAATCCATCAAAATAATTAATATCTACCATACCATGCAGACTTCTTCTGAACAAATTGTGTTCTTAAAATACAAAATAATACTCATATACCCATATTCATTAAAGTGTTTTTCTCACTTTTACTTTTGACCAGGTTGTGTCTACAGAGCTCCAGGATCAACTGACCCAGTGGCTGTAAGAGTATTCAGCATGTTGCCATGGTCAAATATTGCAAAAAACACACAAAAATATGTACAATGCACCTCTACTATAATAATTTGGTCAAAATACTTCCCATTTGTTAAAGGTGAGATACATAGCTACAGATGCAAATGATGAGCTATTTACACTGAAATCTTGACCCCATGTTTCTTTCATGAAAATGTGAGACATGCCTCTTCTTTGACAATGCTCAAATCCAGGTTAAAAACTATTTCTCCGTGCATACAACTGTATCTTCACTCTTTTTAATGTACTGTGATTCTTTATGATTTTGATGCCTTTAATGTGATTATTTCTATCTTAAGCCCTTTGAGTTGCCTTGTGTATATCCGTCCTTTAGAGCTAAAAAGTGTTAATGAGAGTTCGTCGGGTCAAATCTAATTGATGTTTTCTGAGTTGAAAAGACTATTGATATGTGAGCTGCAGCTGACCAGGTGGGATATGGGGCGGGGTGAAAGACGAGAGGCCACACGAACAAAACACATGAGATTTAAACTACTACAGTTATTCTACAGCCGTACCTAATCATGTTCACACAGTTTTAAGGCCTGGGATCATTTGGATTTGGAAAAAAAGGTGTGAAATTCTTTCCTGCTCTCATTCTTAAAACTGTCAATTTTTGGAGAATCATATTTCTAAAATGTGGAGAAAAAACAGCAGGTATAATTATAATGTCTGCCTGGTTCAAGTTAAACAGATCCAGGCCTGAACCATGAAATTACTTTATTGATTATTATTTTATTGTATTTGGGGTTACTTTTGTGTATTGACAAATTATTATATTTTTTGCCTATGTGTTTAGATACTTTGGTAGGTTTTTGAAACAACATGACAACAGTTTTGCTCGGATTGCAACAGAACTGGCTGAGCACTGTTAACTAATGTACACATTTTTTTTACTTTTGAGATCAGGTAAAACATGTCAGAATTGCATATTGGCAAATATTTCAAAAACTAAAAGAAAAATTGTATTTAATGATCTTTAGATTTTGCACATGCTGTTCTTTCCTTTATGTCTGTGTCTATGTCGTGGTCTCTGTCTGTGTCCTGGTCTCTGTCTGTGTCCTGGTCTCTGTCTGTGTCCTGGTCTATGTCTGTGTCCTGGTCTCTGTCTGTGTCCTGGTCTCCTTCTCTCCTGGTTTCAGGCTCTCCTGGTCTTTCTCTCTCCTGATTTCTCTCTTGGTCTCTGTCTGTGTCCTAGTCTCTGTCTCTCCTGGGTTCGGTCTCTCCTGGTCTCTGTCTCTCCTGGTCTCTGTCTCTCCTGGTCTCAATGTGGGAATGCCATCTTTTATTGTGAAGGATCCGAGGCGACTGAAATCAGAGTGTTACATAAGCTCCCAGTGTGACCCAGTAAAAGAGCCGCAACAGGAATGTAGGCCAAACATCCCCCTCCTCTCTCTTCTCTCCTTTTTCTTCCTCCTTTCTCTCCTCTCCCACTTATTTTTCCTCTTCCATCTCTCTCTACTCTCTCCTTCCTGTTCCTCGTCTCTCTCTGTCATCTCTACTTTACTCTCTTCTCTCTCCTATCCTTACTCTTCCCTCTTTTTCTCCCCTTTCCTTCCCTTCTTTCTCTCTCTCCTCACCCACCTCTGCCTCCTCTCTCTTCTCTCTCCTCTCCCTCCTCTCTCCTCTCTGCCTACTCTTCCCCCTCTCCTACCCTTCTCTATCTCTCTCCTTTCCTCCCTTTCTCTCTTCCTCCTCCACACCACAGAGCACGTCTGACCCGGGCTTGAAGTGAGGTGACAGTGAGGACAACACCACCGTGTCAAACGCAGACGCAGATGTAAACGAGGATAAAGATGGATTCAATAAATTACAAAACTAGTCACAAATCAGGGCTGAACTATGACTGATCAATCCTCTCTGACAAATCTAATCCCGCATTGAGACAGGACCTGTGATCCATCTCACACACAGAATCACCTTGAGAATGAGCCATGTTTGAAAGCTGAGCAGAGCGACTGGGAGAGCACTGAGAGGACTCTGCATACAGTCTGACTGTGGGGAATCTACTGAATAATGGAGATAAAATACCACTGTATTAGTTAAACAGTTATCTCCACTCTCTTCTCCTTTCCTCTTCTCTCCCTTCTCTCTTCTGCTTTCATTTCCTCCTCTCTTGTCTCGTCTCTCTTTTCTTCTCTACTCTGTCTTCTCATCTATCTCCCCTCTCCTGTCTCCTCACTCTCCTCTTCTATCTCCTCCCTCCTCTCCTTAATTTCCTCCTCTCTCATCTCTTCTCCACCTGCCTCTACTTCACTGAGTGTAAGTCTCCATACCGTAAGAGTAGGTGTCCGGCAGAGGAACCCCGTGTCCTGCGAGCTCTTGGAAGGTCCAGAACTTGTTGACACAGTTGAGAATGGCCTGAGGTCTGTTGATGAGCCGGCAGCCCATCTTCTCCAGGTGTCGCAGGACAGTGATGTCGCTGTCGGACTGGACCCAGGGCGTGGGCACCCGGACCATGACCACCTGAGGGTACGAGGTCACCAGCTCCTGGTCCACACGCAGCCCTGGCACAAGACACACACAGGTCATTCTGATGGGAGAGGGAGGAAGCACATGGGGTTATATAGCAGCTTTCATACACTTTTAAATATACACCAATTATTGTCCTGTCCTTAGGCAGTTCTTTTGTGATAATTTGTATGTGCTTTGTAAAACTGAAATCCCAGGAAGCTGCAATACCCATAACGATTGTAATAATAATAAAAACAATAATAATGCATCAGTTTTCTACAACGCTTTTCTGGACACTCAAAGACGCTTCACAATTCATTATTCTTTCACTCCAAATACAGCGGTGATAACTACTATGGTAGCCACAGCTGCCTGGGGCACACTGACAGAAGTGAGGCAACCAGTATGTGCCATCAGCCCCTCCCACTACCAACCATCCACACACACACGAGACTCATTCTCAAGAGGCTCAAAAACAAGTAATTTCAAATTGTGACATGCACCAATCCGTGACTTCAAAAGCCCATCTCATGGGGTGATTGACAGCAAGAGAATCTGGAGAGTATGAAAAACTCTCCAATGTTTTTTTGTGAGTGTTTTTTCACCAAAGACTGTTCCAGAACTACGGTTACCTTGAAATGGGACCTACTCAAAAAGCTGATCTGGAAACCTGGTGTTATTCACAACATAACAGACGCTAACAGGAACCTTGATCTGTAAGTACAATGTAACTAACTCGTTGTATGTCACTGTGAACAAAATAATTAGGGTCTGATTCTGAATCGAGGACATGGGGCTCTATGTGACGGATTGCCAGACTCCTCTCTGGATCCACTCGTCTCGTTCCAATATAGGTGACATCAGCTCAAAATGTCACTCGTGTTACAAAATGCCAAAATGCCAATAATTTGACAGGTTTTGAGTGTTGAATGGTGTATCACCCAAATTATTGTCACACATGTGCTTAGGACTGTGAAAAGTGCAATTTCAACAGACAATAATAATTAAAAGTCCCACATCCAATCAGAAACACATAACCTTACTTATTTTTGGCCTTCAATAGCCTTCACCAATCGTCTCCTCTTTCTTAACTTATCTCTCTTCTCTCCTATTTCTTAACTTATCTCTCTCCCCTCCTCTCTCTTAACTTCTCTCTCCTCTCCATAATGAGTAGCCTGTGGTGCTGATCTATAAAGGTTAAAATCTCTGGTTTGAACATGTTTTAAAACAGTAATACATTCTATTCATATTTCCGCCCTCTCTTTCTCAAAAATGCAATTTCAACAGACAACAATTATCAAAGGACCCACATCCAATCAGAAACACAAAACAGAACCTTACTCTGGACTTGTTTTTTTCTTCAGCACCACTCTAACCTCATGCCCTACTTTACAAAACATTGATCTTGCTACTATTTCATCCCAGCCACATTTCAGACAACGTCCCCTGTCTCTGTGTCTCTCTACGTTTTGGGTTTTGGACTGTGCTCCTCGCGCTCCGCCTCACACTGGGTCTTTGTGAGCTGCAGTACAGTAGAATGCAGTCAGAGAAACTTCTTTAGGATTTTCTTTCCTCTTAATCATGAACATGGCTTTGGTCTTTGGTCGCAACACACTGGGGATCACTGTACCAGGCGGAGTAATACAGAAAAACCAGGCATAGTGATACAGAGAAAGTAGGTCCTAGTTTAAAGAGGACATTATTTTTTTGGCTGTTCAAAATTATAATATTGAGCCTTTTTACTTTGTTAAAGATGAAAGATGAAGAGGTCCTTTATCCGTCGCGCAGTTGGGGAAATTTGCGTGTTGCATCACCGATTACAGAACAGTAGGAATGAGGAGCACACAGCACAAGATAAATGAACAACTCTACACTAAAATAAAATAACATCTCAATCATTAGCATAATAAAGAAGCGAGTATGAGATCTCCAACTACAGCATAATTTATACGTTTTCGAGATCACATGACGGGAGCTTTAAGACAGAAGGGGAGGAGTTACATGTTTGTACTTGATATTAGCGTGGATTGATCTAATATCTACTTCAGGTCTGAATTTGATGAGGAACAGCCTTGTAACATAGTAAACTTGACTCGAAGCATTGCCTTGTTTTGCTGAGTCATCAAATTGGGATGATAGAAGTCGTTTTTTGTTTTAGTTGTGTTTGACCCTTTACTATCATACTCTATCTGATCATTCTATCTATACATGTAGTTAGTGCACAGTCTTTATCAGATGTTGTTGATACAATAGTCTTGTTCTTGAATGTGGGGCAGTGTGACGGCACAGAAGCCCAAAGGGTTTCTGTATCTGCTCTGATCACAGTCACACAAAGAAACAGCTCACAGAGAATGCAACAAGAGAACCAGAAAACTGCCAGTCCTGGTTCAAATCTGGGTGAAACGCAGCTACACGCAAATCAAAATAAGTACAGAGACACAGAGAGAGATACAGGGAGAGAGAAAGACAGAGGGTGAAAGAAGAAGGGGGACAGAGAGAGAGAGAGAGAAGAGAGACAGACAAAGATTGACATAGAGAGAGAGACAGTGACACAGAGAGAGAGATAGAAGGGAGAGAGAAAAGAGAGAGACATAAAGACTGAGAGAGAGTGAGGCAGAAAATCTGCTATATAATATATTTGACTGAAATTTCTTTTCAAAACAACCAATGATTTGTAAAGGAAAATTGTTAAAACAAACTATTCAATACAACTGCCATTTTGTCATAATCCAGAACAAACCATGTACATGTAGATGAATGAATGGGGGCGACATAGCTCCTTAGAAGAGCATTGGCCTTTGGGCCTTAAAGGTCTTGTGGTGGGTTCGATCCCACCACAAGACCTGCTCCTACTGAAGTCTGCTGTCTTTGAGTCCCTGGGAAAGATTGATAGTCACCCCCTGACCTAGAAATGGACTGATAAAGGTGGAAGATAATGAATGAATGATACATTTGGGCATCTCCCATAGAGATGTACTAGCTCCTGGAATACAGCTGAAATTGAATTCCCAGTCTCCCAAAGACCCTGTTTGTCGTCTGCTTAGCAATAATCAAAGACTACTGTATTTCAATGTACATAAGTTCATCTCTGTGCTTTGTCCTACAGAGCAGATCTGAGTGATCTGGATCTGCTGTTGTTTGTCACAGATGGCCCACTCCATGACTCTGCCAACGACTCAGAGGATTGGACAGACGACAGTCACTGTGTCCAGCTCAGAGAGAGAGAGAGAAGAGAGAGAGGCAGGGAGAGAGAGACAGAAGGAGAAATAAAGAGGGAGGAAGAGAGAGAGACACACACAGAGAGACACAGAGAAGAGAGATAGGCAGGAGAGAGAGACAGAAGGAGGAAGAGAGAGAGAGAGAGAGACAGAAGGAGAAAGAGAGAGGGAGGAAGAGAGAGACACACACACACAGATAGACAGAGGGAGAAAGAGAGAGACAGAGGGAGAAAGAGATGGAGGAAGAGAGACAGACACAGAGAGAGATACACACACACACACACACACACAGAGACAGAAAGAGAGTGAGGGAGACAGGAGACAGAGAGAGAGAGTATGAATGCACCTACACCTCTGCTCACACTGCGGACCCCAGCCCAGGACTAAAGGTCAGAGAATCGTCCCCTCGCTCCAGCCTCAGCCGCCTGGAGGAGTCTTATTACAACACAAACATTCATATCTGACCACTGCTCCCACAGAGAAGAGTTTGGACAGTGTTCTGCTTGTTATACTGGGATCGGACAGCACTTACAATGAGAAAAGACGAGACGATTGAGAGCGAGCAGGAAGAAAGGCTCTGTATACATCTCTGAACAATCAAGAGGTTTGTAAAAAATACTATCTCTAACAGTAACATCATGGCTTATTCAAATTACAAAAGATCTGTTTTGGATGGGGGGAAATGTTGTAACTTGGTAAACAACTCAAAAACAACAAATGTCTTAACTGTCCCTCTGGTCTCTCTCTGGTCCCTCTCGCAGAGGGTGGATAGCACTCTCGCCTCTCAGCAAGAAGGTCCTGGGTTTGAATTCCGGTTAGAAACGAGGTCTTTCTGATTGGAGTTTGCATGTTCCTCCCGTGCTTGCGTAGGATGGGTCAAATGCAGAGTATGAATTGCCCTACGGGGATCAATAAAGTGCACCTTTACACTTAGATTTATTTATGGTCTATCTCTTTCTGTAGTTTCTCTGGTCTCCCTCTCTCTCCCTCTCTCTCTGGTGTCTCTCTAGTCACTCTCTCTTTGGCCTCTCTCTGTGTTCTCTCTCTTGTGCTACTCTCACTTTCAACAATCTAATATTTTCCTTTTTCTGTATCAAAACTATTCTTCCTGTTTGATTAGCATGTGTGTGTATCTAGAATGTGATTGATAATGTGTGTATACAGTATATAGTGTGTATATATGTGTGTTATTGTAGAGTGGGCAGTTCGGCCCTGGTCCTCTCTCCACTCTCTCTGCTCCGGAGCCTTCTTACATTAGTCATTTACACATAATTACAACCTTTTGGGACAATCAGCTGTTCTGCACCAGCCGACTACAAATCCAGCCACCTAAACTGGAACTAACTGGTTTTAGAGGACACCACTTCTACTACAACTACTAACTAATTTACAAGGTCAATTGAACCTTATAAAAATAAAAACCTAAATACCTGCCCCATCTGCTCAAACACTTTTTTTTCAAACTTTTTCTTTACTTATCAATTAGTAGCATCTCAATACCCTTTGTTATCAAAGTAACACGAGTGACAATGTGGTGCCAAAGTCAGATGTGTCAGCTGGTCCCATGTGTTTCAGTTGTTAATTAGGCCTGGAGTCTGATTTAATGACAGTAAGGTGCAGTATTTATCAGGAAGAGGGAAGAGACATGGCCACTGTGGCAAGTCATAAAGAAGACAGCATTCTTCTGTCTATTATGCAGCAATGATCTATCTATGCCCTGTTTCCATCAGCCCTACTTGGCACTACTCTACTCTTCTCTGCTCTACTATACCTGGTTCTGTTTCCATTACATTTTAGTACCTGGAAATTCCTTGGCAACCACGGCTTCCAGCAGC